CAGGAGAGATCAAAAACCATTTTGTCTTATCCTACCAGACAAATACAAAGAATATAAGTTCCTAAGTGTTTCGCACTATACGTAATTCAATAGATTAAAAAAGAACAAAGCTAGTTTTTTCCTTAGAAAATATATCGCCAATGTTTGGATGCCCAGAAATTTGACAAAAAAAGTAAAGCTATATGGCTTGCAAAAATCGTCAAAATTTTGACAGATTATCCTTTCCCCTAGATTTAATTCTAATAAAGAACCCATTAGTTCTTATCCTGTAATGAAGCTTACTTTAACGATGGTATTTTCCACTTGCGTATTCAATAGTAAAAAAAGCTGGTTTTTTCAAGAAATATTGCCATCTGTTTGGCATTTGCCAATAGAAACAATATTATGATGACAAAGTAAAGGCGCTATAGGCTTGCAACAATCGTCAATTTTTGACGGATTCTTCCCCTCAAAAAACCCATTTTCTGTAATCTTAATAGATATTGTACAGGTTTGTCCCACTTGGTATTATAAGTAAAAGAAGCGGGTTTTTTCAAAAATATTGCCTCTTTTTGGATGCTAGAAATTTGAACCAAAAAGTAAGGCTATTATGGCTTGCAAAAATCGTCAAATTTGAAGATTATTCCCCTCAAAAGAGACCCATTTTCTTATCTTAATATTAACCACCGCTTTCCACTCTTGTAATTGCATAAGTAAGAGTTATAGGAACTGGTATTTTTTTCCAAGAGAGATAAATTGCCCTGTGTTTAGAATGGCAGAGAAATTTCCGACAAAAAAAAAGTAAAGGCTGATAATTCGCTTGCAACAAATCCGTCAAAATTTTTGACAGATTATTTCCCCTCAAAAAACCGCCCAATTATCAATATTTGAAATAGATATTTACTCAGGCATGACACATGGAAACCCACACCAACCAACAGGATGATCATTCCACTGTGGTATTATGCGGTAAGAGAAGTAGTTTTCCGCAGAAATATTGCCTTGGTTCTCGCACTCACCCCAGCAATTTGCTTGACAAAAAGTAAGGCTAATAAGGCTTGAACGCAAAAAGATGCGTCAAATTATGACAGATTAATTTTCACCTCAAACAAAACACCCGCCATAATTCTCATCTTAAATAGAGTATTACAGGTTTCCCACGTGTGGTGATGTAGGTAGTAAGACGCCGTTATCCTATAGAAGAGCCTCAGTTTTTTACTCAGAAATATATGCACGATCGACGTCTCGTTTGGATACCAGACCATGGTTGATACAAAAACATAAAGTAGTCGCGCCGCTATAGGGATCTTGCAAAAGAACAAATCGTACTAAAACCATACCCAACTTCAGATTTTGCGTACCCAAATGATCTCTAATTTCTCCCCTCAATAAACCCATTTATCATATCTTATAGAAGAACTGTAAATTTCTTAACACTAGGTTTCCAAACTCCACGCGTCACTCCTATACCAGTGATAAAGAAGATACAAAGCTAGAGTTTATACTACACCGGCAAAGAAATAGTTGACCATAATGTGCACGCGTCTACATGGATCACCAATGTCAAATCATCTGATAGAAATAACAAAAGTTATAACGCGCACCCTATCTTTCTTAAAGTAACAGGACTTGTCACAAAAATCGTCAATTTTGACATGATTTACTCTTACAATCAAACAACCACACACTCCTTATCTTATCATAATCAGCTGATATTATTATATTTTCCACACCAGAGGTCTTATGCCACACTTGGTACTTCATAGTAAAAGAAGCGCTTATTTTCTTAGGAAATATTGCCAGTGTTTGGATGCACAGAAATTTGAGCGCAAAGAAGTAAGGCCTATTAGGCTTGCAAAAATCGTCAAATTATTTTGACTGATAGATATCGCATTTTGTCTCTCAAGAAAACGCACCCATTGATTATTAATCATTAATGAGATATTAACCAGGTTTTCCACTGGTAATTAATAAGTAAATATCGAGATGCTGGATTTATTGCCTTTATTCTAACCTAAAAAATGCCGTTTGGGACTCAGCACAGAAATATATGACAAACAACAGCTATAAGAGGCCCCATGTGCTCTTGTCAAAACCGTACAAATTCATATGAGAAGTAAATTTAATTCTATCCACACCTCAACAACCGGCCCAATTATTAAAGTCTTTCTTAATAGATATTTAACAGGTTCACTTGGTATTATATAGTTAAGTAAAATAAGAAGCCTGGTTTTTTTCAAACAAAATGTCACCCCACGTACGGATGTTTTGGTTATTGACACCGAGCAAATAGTTGTTGTAACCAAAACGATGAGAGCTAAATAAGCCTCTTTTGACAAAAAGAAACCGTATTTCAAATTAGTTAGAAGATCTATATCAGACAGATTTCATGAAGTTATCCGCACCTCACAAAAACCCCATTTTCTTATCTTAATAAGCAAATTTAACAGGTTTCACTGCGATATTCATACAGTTAAGAAGCAGTTTCTGCCTCAGAAATAATTGCCAATGTTCTAGATCCAGAATTTGACAACAAAAGTTAAGGCTATAGGCTTCGCAAAGAAATCGTACAAAATTATGACAAATTATATTCCCGCTCAAAAAACCTCCCATTTCTCTAATCTTTAATCAATACTTTAACAAGGTTTTCCACTTATAGGTAATTATGTACAAAGAAGCTGGTTTTTTTCAAATTAAATGAATGATCCCTAGGTAACATTGCGATGCAAGAGGATTTGACAAATAACACCATATCAAGAGCTATCAGGTCTTATGCAAAAAAAATTCGTCAGATTGTGGACAGATCTTTCCCCTCAAAAAACCCCATTTTCTTATCTTAATAGAATATTTAACAGGTCTCTCCACTTGGTAATCGTATACGTAACAGAAGCTAGTTTTTTTCTCAGAAATATTGCAATGTTTGAATGCCAGCAATTTGACAAGTAAAAGGCATAGGTCTTAGAGTCAAAAAAATCTTGTCAAAAATTTTGGACAGCCGATTATTTACCTCTCTCAAAAGATATCTTAACGATTAAACCATTTTCATTATCTTACATAGATTTAAACAGGTCATATATCCACTCTGGTGTTAAGTAATGCACTAGCAGCTCAGTTTAAATCATCTCAGAAATATTTAAGCCAATTAGTTGGATTGCCTTAGCGATAATTAGTGACTAAATATGTTAGAGGAGATATAGCTTGCAAAAATACGTCAATTTTGACAGAAAATTCTTTCCTCCTCAAAAAACCCATTTTCTTATTTAAATAAGATATTTAACAGAGGTTTCCAAATTGGTATTATAGTAATACCAGAAGCTTAGTTTTCTCAGACTTAATATTTGCCAGTTTGGTATGCACTAAAAAAAAGTAAGGCTATAATAGAGCATTGCCAAAAATTCGTGTCATATTATTTGGAGCAGATTTTTAGTCACTACGCAAAAACTCCCTTATGTTCTTTAGTCTTAATAAGTAGTTGAAACAGGTTTCTTCTCACTATGGTATTATAGTAAATAAGGATAGCTAGTTTTTCTCAGAAACTAATTGCCAATTTTGGGATGCCGAGAGAGTGTTGATAAAAAGTAAGGCCGAAGTATGGCTTCCAAAAAACTCGTCACAATTTTTGACATGAATTCTTTTCTCCTTCATAAAAACCGCTACTAACCATTTGTCTATCCTTGAAGGGTAAGAATAATTTTAACAAGGTATTCCCAACTGAGGTATTAGATGTAGAGCAGATCGTATAGCATCAAGCATAGTTGTTTCTCCAGAAAATATGTCCAATGTGTTATGGCAATGGCCAGCAAATGTTGACAAAAAAAGTATAGGCCTTAGGCTTGCAAAAAAATCGTCAAATTTGACAGATTAATTTCCCTCAAAAAACCCCATTTTCTTAATCTTAATAGATTTTAATACAGGTTCCACTTGTTATTGACACAGTGTAAAAAGAACAGTTTTTTTCACAGAAAATATTGCCATGTTGGCGAATGCCAGCAATTTGAGAAAATAGATCAAGGCTTAGCTTGCAAAAATAATCGTCAAATTTTGGACAGTTTTTATCCCTCAAAAAACACCCATTTTCTCCTTATCTTAATAAGTATGTTTGAACAGGTTTCGCACTTGGTTAATTAGTAAAGCAAAAGCTAGGTTTTTAAACATCAAATATTGCGCCACATGTTTGGCATGCCTGAAATTTGACTAAAAAAGTAAGGCATAGGGCTGGCATACAAATTCGTGTGCAAATTTTGACCAGATCTTTCTGCCTCAAAAACAAACCCATTTTCTCTTCTTAATAGATTTTAAACAGAGTCTTACCACTTTCGGGATATAACTGTATAAGAGAAGCTGTTATGTTTTCCTTGACGAAAATTACGCCTTGTCTTGGATGCCGAGAACGTTTGACAAAAAAGTACCTTAAGGCCATAGGCTTTGCAAATAAACTCGCTTCAAAGTTGTTGACAGATGTTCTTTCCAGCTCCACAAAGAACCGCTAATGTTTCTTATCTTATACGATATTTAACCAGGTTCCAACGTTGGCTATTATAGTAATAAAGAAGCTAATTTTTCCTCAGAAATATTGCCAATGTATTGATGCCAGAGAAAATTTGATGTAAATAAGTAAAGTTGGCTAATAAGGCTTGCAAAAATCGTCAGAATTTAAGAAGGCAAGATTCTTTCTCGCTGTGAGTGCACAGAACAAACTCCATTTTTCTTCTCTTAATAGAATTAATTTGAGCAACAGGTTTCCCAACTTAGGTATTATAGTAGACATCTAGAAGCTAAGTTTTTTACTAGAAAGTATTGAGCCATGGTTTAGGATCAGGAAATTTTGACAAAGAAGTAAGGTCGCGCTTGAGGGTGAATCCTTTGCAAAAATCCGTACAATATTTGTGCACAGAGATTTGTGTCCTACGTCAACATAAACCCTGCCCATGTTCAGTTAATCCTTTAATAGATATTTACGACGGTGTTACCAACGCTGGTAGATTAATAGTAAAGGAGAAGCCCGGTATATTTTCTGGTTCACAAATAAATAACAATGCCGTGCCTGTTATGGGAATGCCACGGAGAAACTGTGACAAAAAAGTAGAGGGCTATAAGAGGCTTGCAAAAACAGTCAAATTTGTGAACGAGTCTGCATGATATTATCCCCTCAAACCGAAGTACCTATTTTCTTCTATGCTTACGATAGAGTATAACGTATAACAGGTTTTCTCACTGGTCATTTAGTGGAAAAGAAGCTGGTCTCCTCTTTAATCAAAAATAACAGTGCCCCTGTTATGGATGCCGAGAAATTATAGACCAAATACAAAAGGTAAGGCTATAGGCTTGCAAAAAAACACATGTCAAATGTGTGACAGATCTATTTCCTCCTCAAAAAGCTCTCATTTTTCTTATCCTTAATATCAATGTTAAAACAGTTTCCATGAACTTGTTATTATAGTTAAAGAAGCTAGTTTTAATTCCTCAGAACCCATTGTTGCCGATTGTTTAGATGCCCAGAAAATTGACAATAAAAGTGAAGGCGTATAGCTTGGCAAAAAATCGTCAAATTTTGACAGAATTATTTTCCCCTCAAAAAACCCCATTACTCATTTATGTAATAGGGAATATTTAACCAAGGTTGTCCACTCTTGAGTATTCATAGTAAAAGCAAGTCTGGTTTGTTTTCAAAAAAAAAAATGCCTACTTCTGATGGGATGCCAGAAATTTGAACAAAAAAAGCTAAGGCACTATACGGGCTATTGCAGAAAACCGTCAGAATGAATTTGCTGACAGAGCTTATTGGTCGCCTCAAAAAACCCCTAATCTTATTGCTTACTCTTAAGTGATATTATACAGGTTATTACCACTTGGTAATGGAGTAAATGAGTAAACAAAGAAGCCTGGTTAAGTTTTCGAAAAAAAAATGCCCACACTGTGGTGAGATTGCGTCGATGAGAATTTACAAAAAAAGGTAAGGCTAATAAGGCTTGCTAACGAACAACAATCGGACAACAGTTTTGACGCGATCTCTTTCCTCTGCTCAAATAAACCCCAATTTTCTTATCTATAATAGGAGTTTATTGTAAACAGATTCCACTTGGTATTTATGTAAAAGAAGCTAGTTTTGTTACTACAAGAAAATATTGCCGCTTGTTTTGGGATGCCACGCAATTTGACTTAGAGACCAAATAGTAAGGCTATAGCTTTGCAAAAATGCGTCAAGATTTTGAAAGATTAGCCGTAGGAAATTTGCCCCTCAAAAGAACCCACTCCCTTTTCTTATTTTAATAGATATTAAACAGGATGTTCACACACTTGTGGAGTGATTATAGTAAAAGAAGCTAAGTTGTTTTTTCACTGGGTAGATGACATATATGCCGCAATGTTTGGGATGCCCAGAAATTTGAAGAAAAAGTAAAGGCTAAGTCGGCTTGCATAATCGTCAAATTTTTGACCAGAATTATTTCCCCTCAAAAAACCCGATTTTCTTATCGTAATAGATTATTAACAGGTCTTCCACTGGGTGTTATAGGTTAAAGAAGTATTTTTTCTACAGAAAATAATTGCCAATGTTGGTATGCCAGAAATTTGTATGAAACTAAGTAAGGCTAATAGGCCTCCTGCAAAAAATCGTTACCAAATTTGGGGAAACTAGATTCTTTGTCATCCTACAAACATCACTGCCACCCCCATTTTCTTATCTTAATAGATATTATTGATAGGATTTCTCACCACTCTGGGTGTTCTACCTCACCATTCGATACAAGAAAATGCATCTATTTTTTCTAGAAATATTCAACATCACGGCTTGTATGCTATATTATAGATTACAATAGTACGCGCTATAGTTGCAAAAATCGTCCAAATTTTGACAGTTATTTCCCCTCAAGAAAACCGGAAATTCACGATTTACTTATTTTAACATAGTATCACATATAACTTACTTAGGATTTAACCTCAAACTGCATGTGTATAATCAAAATACAAGAAAGCTTAGCGTATCTGTGTTATTTATAAAAAAAATGACTCCCACATCAGTTGCAATGTCTCAAATCTTGATACAAAATAGTAGTATGTGTCTCAGGTGGACCTCTCAGCACAAAAACTGTACAAATTGTAGCACGCAGATGGTTTTTTCTATCCTGTCATCAATATATATCACCAATTTTTCTTATTCGTTAAATAGATATTTGAAACAGGTTTTCGCACTTCAGGTCATCCCTAGCAGATTACTACGAGTAAATATCACAGAAAAAGCATAGGTTTATTTTTTCAAAAAAAATGGCCACTGTTTGGCATAGACCCCGAAATCTTTGAACAAAAAAGTAAGGCTATAGGCCCTTGCAAAAAGCCGTACAACAATTGTTGACAGATTATTTCACCACTGCAAAAAGTCCCCATTTTCCTTATCTTATACAATTTCACGAGGTTTCACTTGGATATTAAATAGTAAAGAGAAGCCTAGTTTTTTCTCCGAAAATATTGCCAATGTTTAGATGCCAGAAATTTGACAAAAAGTAAGGCTATAGGCCCTTGCAAAATCGTCAAAAATTACTTGATCAGTATTTGTTCCCACTCCTCAAAAAACCCCATTTTCTTATCTTAATAGATATTTAACAGGTTTCCACTTGATCTTATAGTAAAAGAAGCTGGTTTTTTTCAAAAAGATTGCCCTTGTTTGGATGCCAGAAATTTGACAAAAAATTAAGGGTATAGGCTTGCAAAAAATCGTCAAATTTTGACAGATACTTTCTCCTCAAAAAACCCCATTTTCTTATCTTAATAGATATTTAACAGGTTTCCACTTGATCTTATAGTAAAAGAAGCTGGTTTTTTTTTAAAAAAATTGCCCCTGTTTGGATGCCAGAAATTTGACAAAAAAGTGAGGCTATAGGCTTGCAAAAAAGCGTCAAATTTAGACAGATTCATATCCCTCAAGACAACCCATTTCTCTTATGTATCGTCGTCTTAAATACTAGCTTAAATGCTACCTATCATAAATACCCACCAAAATTGCCCTGACATAAGTTTTTAAAAATTGTTAATTTGTGACAGAAAGTTTTCAGCCTAAAGCCACACATTCCCTTACCGCACTAAACTTCCAAAAACTAGCTACTTTGGTCACAAAAAAATAGTTTTTTAAAAGTTTCCCGATATCTGAATATCCTTATTTCGGAAAAAAACAAGGCTTTGGACATTTCGGAACGAAACGATTGGAAAAGAAAACTGTTTTGTCTTCAAAAGATGACTTCTGGATTAGATTTTAGACAATAAAATTATATTATCATGGTTCTCATTAACTGAATGTGTATTGCATAAACATAAAGCTGTTTCTTGTGAAAAATGTTTTGGCATTTTTAGGTGCCTCATTTTGCCAAAAAAGCATGACCATAGATTGTAGACCGAGTTGAAACCGAAATTTTGTCATTTGAAAAGACTTTTAGCTACCTATATAAACACTGGAAAGGTATTAATATGTTCTGTATAGCTTCTTTGACAAAAATTAAAATGATACTAGAAAACATAGCGGCTAAAACGTTTTGATTAATATCTAAATCTTGTCTCCCGATTATGCGTGAAACCAAAAAAGTAGGTTGTCTGTGAGAGAAAACAACAAGGCCGGTTGGCTAGAACAGCGTGTCTCTTCTAGCGAAAGGACCAGCCGAGACATTCAGAGCACTACGCAACTCGTACGAATGAATTGATTATCTCTTCAAATCAAAACAAGCTATTTACAAGCATCATTAGTTGTAGGCAACTATGAATAGTTGTAAGTTAAACAAATCTCCATCTTGCTCCAAATATTAGACTTGTTACCTCTATCTTAGCCTTTGGGCCACAAGGTCCTTGTTGATAAATCTGGAAAGCAGGTAAGCGCCATTTAGACTCTGCAATGTAGTTATTTGCAATGCCTCTTTAAAATGCGGGATAAGCAGTCGTATTTGCCCGTCTTTGTCTGTTTTCTTTGCCTTCTAGCAGCTGCAGCCCATGTCGCATCCTCACGGTTGAATTAAGAATATCTTCTGTTGTTTGGTGGTATGACGTCATTTTATTTTCTGTTGCCTACAAAAACAAAACTGCTATGATATGTATTGTGTCAAGATTATCGCTTTAACATCACGAAAACTGTTCACAGACTCATTGACATCAGTAATATGTCGATTGTGCCATACAGCTGAAAACCGCCGACTCAAAATCTGGCGAGGATTTCGTTCGAGATAGCGGGTAGCTGAGCAAAAGCTGTTTCATTTAACTTAACCTTTAGCTTAATCGAAAGTTGAGCTCTTTCGAGAAGGTGAGTGTTCATAAAACGGCTATTGAATCTAGACGGTGTCAACTGTATTTGGGGCTCATAAAGTTAAAGCAACGTCAAGACTACTGTAAGTCAATAACTTGATTTCATAAACATACCGTTGATAAGACTTTGCCAGGATGTCTACTACTTGATCTGAGATCCAATACGTCAGGTCCTGGTGCATAAGATGGCCGAGCGCACTGCCAACCAGCTAAGCAGTGCTATGAGGAAAAACATCTTCCATGTACATTGTATATAACTCGGTTAGTTATCATTTCGAAATTGATGCCGAGAGAAAAAAGTTTGCTACCGGTTATCATTGAATATGTATCGAGTTGCACAAGTCAGGGAAAGTAACAAGTGAGTTTAGAAACCACCAAAGCCCAAGACTTTCAATCGACGGCCATAAGACTACTCCAGTTCAAAAATGTCGCAGCATCCAAGTGCAAGGTGTATTCTGAAATTTTCCTTACTAATGGGTCAAGACTCAATAAGGACAGAGTCTAGTAAAAGGTTTACCCTTCATCAGATTAATACCTTTCCACTTTAAAAAGCTTCCATTCAAATAAAACAAAAAAGGCTGAGTTTGGGAATGGCCCTTTAACTTCTTTTGCTTTTTTGACCTTAAAATTATCAACCGTGTAATCCCCTAGGTTTCTTGAATCTTGAGAATCTAGCATGGTTTGGTGTACAGAACAGGGAGGTTCCGAGTGACAACTTTGCGTTTCACGTTTTATCCGATCATCGGACAACTGTAGATAGATAAAAACGCTTCAGTTGAAGGACAGGACGGTTCTTATTACAAACATGAGCTTTGCGCGAGCATCAAACAACGGCTATTACCTGTCTAACACAACGAATTTCTATCATACACTCGGGCAGATTTCCATTCTTGCCCCTGTTTCGCAGTTTCATAACATCACTCTTTTTCAAATATCGGCTCAAGAATTTGTTACAACAAGTGTTGTAAGTTACGAAATAAAATGAAGTTTCAAATGTTAAATCAAAACTAAGTACTTACCTCCGATAAAGCAACTGAGTCCGAAGGATCGAAGCTTTTCCGCCGATGAGGTTTGATTCTATAAGGAGACTTCAGAGATGACCTTGGTACACTCACCCTGAAATAAAGATAAAATCGGAGTGATTAAAATATACGTAATTACAGTTGACATTTACTATCTAACATACTTGCGATCTCAGACATAATGCCATATTATATATGAGTGCAAAACAGGATACGAGAAAACATAAAAATAGACAACGTGAGTGAGCGACAAGACAATGTTCGGGTTCTTTGGGCCATCAGGCTGAGATACTGCGTACCCCAAATATAGATGGATTCACTTGATGTGCTTGAAAAGTTGTCTGTTGATCATTAGCAAAACAGTTCAGGATAAGAACAGTCACGCAGTATTTTAAAAGCCAGAATATCAAAATAAAATGAGATTTGATCACAGATCAACATTTGCTCAAGAAATTAGAGAAAGCAAAAACGTGCAACGAGGACAATGTCGAAGTTATCGAGTAAGAAAGATTCTCTCTTGATCTAGGCTTTTTTAACCTGTTTATATTGAAACAAAAATTGTGTCTTGTTTAGACAGAAAGCTTGGTTCCTGTCTCGGACTCTCCAACAATGTGTGGGGTTAGCCGTTTATGGTAAATAATAGAAAAAAATCAAGTTAAACAAAGCTTCAAAGCAATAGCAACAATTTTTAAAAAAATTGAAAAAAGTTAATTTTCAAAAAGTCAAAACATTAACTTTTGATTGGAAGGCCTCAAAGCTTTGGAACTTCGAGATTTGCCAAAATCGAATAATGACTATATAACAGGTTCGGTCAAATTTCACATGGTAAAATTAGAAAAACATTGATAACTTTTAGGTTTTTGAGAGCCATTATTGGCCTGGTAGTTTGTAGAAAGAAACAATACTTCGGCTGCTTTATGTGATGTCTATTTTAATGTCGCTGAGACTTATAACTGCACTGGTTTACTGTGGAAAAAATTGCATTTTCACTCAGATGGAATAAGGTTTCAAGCAACTTGCAGCATTATTTGTTCCATCGCAATGAAATGGAAAATATGACTTTGAAATTTGCGACACATTTAATCAATTGAATCAAATTGTGAGATATCACAGAATGGTCAGATGCCATTAGGCCCATTGCAGCAACAAAAATTTAGACCAAGTCTTTTTGTATTCATTTGTAAAGCAGTGAGGAAAATAACAATTTTAGACACCCAAGCATAAAATACGTATCACAAAGTTCATCCTAATCAAAATTCACAAGTTTGTGAAAAAACTCTTTTGCAGGTACCCTTATCATCAAAACTCGATTTTTCGTGTTTTTGCATGTTAATTTGATATTTTTACGAAATAAGAAAAAATCAAAACTATTTTTGCAATTTATATCGCCAATACTTTACCTTTAGATATTTTTCTATAATTTCCTATGAAAACAGTCATATTAGCACTTTTATGAAATTTCTACCACTACTTGAATTTTAGCAAGTTAAAATAACTGGTGGCTGTACTCCCACCTTGTGACAGTGGGTACATTACGTTTCCAATTTAAGTGTACATTGTATTTGCATTTTCAGTATCAAGAAAAGATGAAGTGTTACAATATCATCAGGTTGACATACCTAACATAACTTTCTGCATATTCTGTTTCTGGTTCTGGTTTTGTCTTGCATACAGGGCATTGTGAATATGGACCATGGATAGGTACAGGCAGTAGCCTTTTGTCAACTGTATAGGTACTTCCAGCTGAAACATGGAAATTTTTAATTCGGGTTAAAAACATGATAAAACTTGTTGCTTTTAACTGTAGGTGGCTGTTAAAAAGGGCGTGCTTGACAAACTGATCAGTACTGAACACCTTTTACTTCCTAGATGCTGAGTAACATTCAGAGGAAAAATATAATTCAACTACAGCTTAATAATTTACTTGGTAGTCAATGTCAGTTGGAAAATTGAGGATAGCTTGTTTTAAGAATAACAAGTAAATTTTGTTTAAACTTTGTGCTGGTTAATTTGTATTGATTTTAATGCACAAGATAGAAACTTTGATATGAACAGGTTGGCAAATTCATACATACAAAAAAGGTACTTTCATTAAACATGAGAAAAAAATGAATAGTTGCTTACCGGTGAAAAAAGATAACTCAAAGTTCATTTACAATTTTTTCATTTCAATAAAATTCTTTGAAAAAAGCAAACATTTAAGTAAACTAAAGCTTTTCGTCTGACACTCTTCAGAGTTTAAGCCACCAGAGCATAGATCGAAAACTCTACGCTAGGAAATATATATTCCCAGTTGTGGATTGAAATTAGACCAGGCGAGGAAGGGGGGTATCGTCACCCATCGAGGGAATTTGCAAGACCAACTCTATTTGGTCAATTTCGATACGCTGATTACGAAAATCGATGTTATACGGAGAAATTCGGTACCAGGAAGCCATAATCTTTTTGAAGCTTTTAAAGCAAATCTATGTGCGCAGCAGATTTTACTCTAGAAATATTGAAAACGATAAATACACGATTTCGGCATGAAAAAGGGACCAGTGCATTCAGAATTCCGCCGCATGATATCAACCTTCGAAATCAGTATATCGAAATTGATGAGAATAAAAAATTTACAAACTTTTTTTCAACGTTCAAATTTTGATGAAAACGAGGTTTGGACATGAAAAAGAGGCTTCCCGGTAGTGAATTTACATTTATAAAATAACTTTTTGAAATCAGTACATCGAAATTGATAAAAATCGATTCATTTACAAACTTTCGTTCAACGTTCAAATCTGGACGAAAACGAGGTTTAAACGTGAAATAGAGGCTTCCTGGTACCGAATTTATCCGTATAACATCGATTTTCGTAATCAGCGTATCGAAATTGACCAAATGTAGTTGGTCTTGCAAATTCCCTCGATGGGTGACGATACCCCCCCTTCCTCGCCTGGTCTAAATAGGCCAATTAGAAACGCGAGCACATGACTGTTGAGGTTGACCAATCAGTGCCGCTTGCATCGACCACTCATATTTCTTTTGCATAGAGAACATTTTCAAGCGTTAAAATCTCTACGGTCTAATAATGACATCTTTATCACAAAGCCCGATAAAGGGTCAGGAGTTGTTATTTTGAACAAAAAGGACTACATCCAAAAAATGGAGAATATTCTCCTCGACAAAGAAAAGTTCGAAAAACTGGGTGACGTCGAAACACAGGATAAAACGGCCAAGCTAGAGCGGAAACTTCAAAAACGCCTTTTGGAGCTGGTTAACTCAAAATTGTTGACCAACGAAGTGTACGATAGGATAAGACCCACAGGTTCACAACGTCTACAAATGTATGGCCTCCCTAAAATACATAAGCCGAAAGTTCCACTTAGACCTCGGGGGGTAAACTATGCCCAATTTTGGAAGTTGGCGTTCCTTTTCGGTCAAAATTTTGGACCCATAATTCCGCAAATGTCTGGAAAATGTGACCCATAATTTTGCAAAAATGATGAAAACTACACCCATAATTCTGCAGAGTAAATAAATATTTTAAAGTACATAAAAACCCATCAATCAAATTTTGTATGTCCTGTGCCCCAAAATCTCAATATTGTACATATTTAATACTTTATTTCTAACTGGACATCATTTTGTTAATGCTAAATTTCCCTCCTAATAATTTTGCAATATTTCCCCAAAATGGTACCCATAATTCTGCATGTTTCTTCAAATGGTACCCATAGTTCCGCACAAATCTCAAAAACTGCTACCGATAATTCCGCACTTTTCATTAAGAAAGTACCCCTAAATAATGGCACGTCTCCGTACCTTCAAACATGTTAATGTACCCCCCCCCCCCCCGAGACTTGGACCCATCTTGTCTATGATTGGTCAAAGATTGGAGAATAGACTAAAACAACATGTTCCGTCTAGTATTAGAAACAAAACTCATCCCCAAAGAGAAGCGCCACCTCGGTCTTGCATATCTAGAAGTACAACTAAAACCTGCGATTCTGCTATCGGGCAGCATTTACAGGAAAAACCAGATTTTGCAAAAAGATATGGCGACATGTTTCGGATTATTGGTAAAGCCCGATCGTCGTTCCATCTAGCAGTTTTGGAATCTATCTACATGAGCACGAAAAAACCGCTATTGTGTAGACAGAAGAAGTTTGTTTTCACCTCCATTGGTAACATCTTAATCGGCAAGCGGCACTGATTGGTCAACCTCAACAGTAATGTGCTCTCGTTTCTGATTGGCCTTTTTCGATCCACAACTGGGTATATGTATTTCCTAGCGTAGAGTTTTCGATCTATGTTCTGATGTTTCAAACTCTGAAGAGTGTCAGACGAAAAGCTTTAGTTTACTAAATGTTTGCTTTCTTCAAAGCCATTTACAAGTTTTGTACCACCAAAAGATTGTTTTTAATAAAGTTCATTTCAAAGATTATAGATTTTAAAAATAAGTAGATCTGATGGAGTTTGAGGGCCTTCTTTAACACTGCCTCGTCAAGTTTATCAAGAAATCAAGACAAAAATACTTACAACAAAAATCAGTAACTTCATTGTGGGAAGTGACTTCTTTCATGTCAAAAACATGAGGTATTAAGGTTGTTCCTTTTTGTGGTGTGCTAAAAGACATAATACAAATGCAAAATTTAAAAATATTTTTATAATAGCTTCACTGAATATAACATGAAATATACATTCATTTTAAAAAGAAAATCTTTTAAAGACAAATGTAAAAATCATGGTTTCATTATCTGAGTTATCCACCTATGACAAATAGCTAAGATTACGGATGCAAATGACCAAGAAAAGATAAAAGAGCCTTTTGTTTCCATTGGTCCTTGGAATAACTTTGAAAATGGATACATAGGTATGTCATGACGGTGTATAGCTAACATCTACTTTAGGCAAGGGGAAAGGCTTAATATCACAAACATAAGCAACAACCAAAGTTACAAAATTTCTGAAATAAAATAATGGGCATTTGATTCACTCTAAAGCAGTCATATCCAGACACATTCATTTCAATCAACACCCAATATATTTCTGAAAGATTTATATGTAGCGTAAAAGCTGCAAAATGCTTTATTTTTTCTTATTCATTAAATATTATTTTCAATATTTTAACTTTAGTAAAAACATTTAAAAAGGTAATAGAGAATCACTTACCCAGAGCTTGTCATAACTTTACTGCTTATGCATTCATCCATATTCACCCTTCTAAATTCTTTTATCTCATTGAAAAAGTCATCATTTTCTGTCAAAGCTTCATTTTCATTATCAATTAGGCCAGCAATCCAATCATAACCCAAAAATGATTTTTCAGGCACTGTATTTGAATTATCCTGCTTATATATCTTTGTTTCAATGCAATTTGAAGGAAAATAGACTTTGGTTTTTTGAGACTTTGGAGTCTGAAATAAAAGAAAACATAAAATCTGATACAAAATATGAAAATATTTCAAACCTAAATTATTAATTTATGTACAGTAACGTGCCTTAATAGACAAATTTCTCAAATAAGATTGGTGTTCAATGAGTCAGACCAATAGGCATTTTTCTAGTGCAAAAAATTGAGCATTTAGAGAGAAATTGTCTGCTGATGCTCTTAACAATAGCCAAAATACTTTTTTGAGCCATGATCTGTCCTGTCCAGGTTAGCTAGGCCAGTAAATAAAAACAAAACAGGAATTCACAAGGCTTATTGAAAAAGTTATCTTTAATATAAAAAATATTTTGCTTTGGTACTTTATTCATTTGCTTTGAAATTTATTTATGTAAGGTTTTGGTCTTTTACCCATTTGAGTATTTAAAGCAAGGTCCATCGTCACGCACATATAGCCTTCACTTGTAGCTCTATTCTCCCATTATAAAAACAGAAACCATATAAAGTTAATGGTTTATATGTTTGCAAAGTGTTTGTGAAATGGATTCCAAGATGGTTCCTTTGCTTGTAGAAAAAATATTATGTTCACTTATACATAAAATTATTCAATGTATTGAATATCCTGTGCCAATGGCACGGGTGACGAAAATCTCACAACAGGACCAGACTATAAAGTAATCTATGGCAAAATCTTGAAAATGCACAGTTGGAGTGAAGGGAAAAAATTACTGCATTCCCCACGCAGACCAAACTTTTCAGTCTGGCAATAGGACATCACATACTTGAGGAAACATCACATGCCAACAGTCACAAGTGTGGCTGAGCTCAGCTATAGCTCAAATGTGCACTGAGCTTAACCAGGGGTGTAGAGCTAGGGGGCTCATAGGGGGCTGAGCCCCCTTGTTAATGGCGAATATTGGCAAAAATTTCTAAATTTGCTTTCGTTTTTCGCTACATTTTGTGCAAGAGCACTTTCTGTTATTTTGATGGCTCGGTACATAACTGCATGCTCACCATTGAATTCTCTATTTTGATTGCTTTATTGTATAGGTTCAAAACAAATGTCTTTCGTACTGTAATCAAGTGGCTAACTGATGGCTTAAGAGTAGTAGGTGAAAGGGCATTTTACATGCAAAACGAAAACTTTGATTCACACAAGATCTCAAATTTGCACCACCGATACACTAAAAAGCTTTTTGGAGGCTTAACATTTTTTAATTCTATAACTCACCTTGCGCGCATCCGGTGTCCGTAGAATTGATTTCGGTTGTGTCCTCTGGGCGTTCTCTGGATTTCTAAAGTTGCAGCGATCTGGCGTCCTTGTCACCTTGTTACTTTTGCGTCGTATGTTTCCCTCAGATTCAAGGGCAGTCTTTTGAGCCATCGGTGTACTTGTAACAACAGTCTCTGGATCCCTTGAAAAGCTATAATGGTTATCTATCCCCGTTTTGAGCCGAGGTTTTGGGATACGGTTGTTCTTTTCCTTCTTATTTGAGCTAGGCCTAAAATCTAGTTTGCTACGTGCCGTTGGCTTGTCGGACTGTTTATATGTCTGTATTTTCAAATCTGTCAAAGCTTTATTTTTCTCTCCGTCGACATATATTTGCAGCTTACTGACGCCCTTCTTCAGCTCAGAAATTAATGAAGCATTTTCAAATCGCAGCTTTGCAATCAGTTCTTCAGCCATTGTTGAGTTAAAATAAAACGGAAAAAGTTACGAAAAACCTCGCATTGACTTAGAGCATTCACTGGTAACGAGATTTAAATGCGTAAATGGCGGGAAAGTTGCTGCTGCATGGTCTACTAAGGATGCCTTGAAGGGTTTCTTCTATGGATTGTCAAGAGAGGTTTTTAGATAATAAACATTGTCTTTAAACAGGTCAACCTGAAAAATGATTTAGTATTTTAAACCAAATCGCAATTTACCTATTTTCATGCACAATCTCTGACGCTGCGCTGGAGCCAGCTTACAAACCACATCGTAATTGGAAAAATACCAGAGGGTACATACAACAACAAAGTTTACTGTGCCATTTTCAAGCCTGGCAGAATTTTATCTTTGAATGAGATAAGGATTAAATGATATAAGGATCATCGATATGACGACAAATTTTCGTTTACGGAGAGTTGGATGTCCACCATCAGTATCCAGTATCAAGGATATTCTTGAGTAAGTGCCGAACTAAACAGAAAATCTGTCGATCCTTTTCTGTCGAGTCTCGATAAACTGGATGTTGGATTTAATTGATAAATGGTATATGCCTCTCAATCGTTTTACCTAATCAAACAAACATTCACTCACAATTACAGAAAAGTAAAGACACTGTTCGTCCCCTATCATTAAATGTCGTAATTACTTTCATGTACAAAATAACAACTTGCTCGTACCTGGTAAGACTTTCATCGATTTTACTTTAGCTCTTGAGAACTTAATTTAACAATAGAATTTACTGTTAACTTCCAAATGGCATTAACGTTACTTGGAAATGCTAATAATGAACTGATAGATTTCTAAACAGAGTAAGTATGCAGAATTAAGGCCAAGATCCAAGTTACATTTGGAATGAAATTTCCAGTACACAGTCACTTTGCTGGCACTTTTCTGTTTCTGCTCATTATCAAACCATGATGAGATTGACTTCTTTTTATAGCAAATCTTGAATTGTAATCAGTAATGATAGAGCATATAAAAGAAGAGATTTTTAAGCTTAATATGTCATAAAACAACGTTTTTGTATTTCAGGATAACATCAGATATCACTATAATTGGTAGAAACAAACATGCTGCAGATCTCTTTCTTGACTCCAAGACAACAACTGGCCTAATATCAAGAATGCATGCAAGGATCATAAGGAACCAAAAGGATGGGAAGGAGCAATATGAGCTATGTGATACAAGCCTTAATGGAACATATGTCAACGATATTAAGGTATCTGGGACTGTTGTATTAAACAATGGTGACACTATTGCATTTGGTCACATAAAAGGAGCAATTCTAGAACCAGGTTCATTTGCACCACAAAAAGATTCAGAGTTTCTATATAAGGTAAGTATGCTTGGAATCCAGAAGTATGTCTATAAAGATATGCATATTAGAGTAAAGCAGACCCAGAGATAAAGAGGATATTGCATGAATAGTGTTGCAAATAGTATTTCATGGAAACCATACTTGCCACTATAGGAAACATTCAAGAAATAAAAAAATCATACTAGAGATTAAGTTGATATCTTTAGCCCTTTTAAGCTTCTGATTTTTGCTTTATACTTTCTGATTTTTAAATCTTAAATTACCAGAAAGACAATTAAATTGCAAATCCATAAAGAAGTATTATATATTATTTGTATTTGTTTGTACATAGCACCCGAAGGTAGTTTTTAGGACACTGAGAAGCTTATGCTTTTCAAGCAGTGTCCTGGTCTTTTCTCTCAATGTGACCAATATGCCTTGAATTACAGAGAACTGGTGACTCTCATCACTCTGGGTGAAAGTTTGGTCATGCCAGGGACTTGAACCACGGACCCTTGGGTTTTGTCGTCACGGACCCACGGACCCTGTCAGCACCTGAAACAACTGAGCCATCCTCACTCATAAGTTTCTCTAAATAACCATTATATTTCACACAATCCAATTAGTTACTAACCCAAACCACAATGTTATCCAGCATTTCTGGCATAATGTGATACAAGTGTAGGGATAAGGAATAAGGTTCCAAAATAAAGAAAGGAATTAAGGTTCCTAATATTATCATAAATGATTAATGTACTTCCCTTAAAAATTTGCTCATATTTTCTCTTTCTACAATTGCTTATGTAGCTACTTTCTATAATTTTTCTTTTTTAGTTTGAAAAAACACATTATACTACACCACCAAAAACCAAAAAAGCACCAACTGGTTGTGCTCTTCCTTTATATGCTGATGTTCACAACACTGAGGTTCCAAATTCAAGTTCATTAATCAAAAGCACAAAAAATTCAGGCAAAAGGTGAGGCATAGTTATCTAAATAACTATTTGACAAAAGCATGTCCAGTTATAGAAGTAAAGAGTATGCAGGCACCTTTCTGATGGCTTGTTTATTGTTTATAAACTATTTTTCAGTTTTACTATAAGCATGGAATAAAAAAATAAGTTTAAAGACTTACCCTCAAAATAGACACTGATTTATTTTCAACAAAATTATATCATGACTTTAGCAATAAAAAATGATAGGAGAATGGTAAATCTCAATTTCAATTTGTTTTATCCACCATTTCTATCAGCTTTGAAGGTAGGTGACTCTTCCTTTAATTAAAACTAGATGTTTCTTTATTTTTTAGGTCTTTAAGCAATTGTTTCAAATTAAAAGAATTTGGGTCAATTATCAAAACACCATCTGATGCAGAGTTGAAATCACTGGTTACTGCAGTTGTATCAAAAGCTGATGAAGAAAGTGATGAGGAGTTTTCTCTGTTAACAACTCCACTTAGGCCTAGCACATGCACTGAGAGTTCCACATTGGGGACAATTGGTGCATTATCAGAAAGACATGTTACAACAACCCCAAAATTAAATGAAAATGGTCAAGAGAAAGTTACAGGTAAGAGCTGTTCTGCTCTAGGCTTCATGCAAAAAATTGCATCTTTCTTTCAAAAGCATCTTGTTTTCCCTCACATTTACTTGTTGACTTTAAACTGACGTGAACCAATTTAAGCACTTTGGATAGTATGACAGTTAATATTTGCATATAGCAACTATGTTTTTGATATTCCTGTTCTGAAATTAAGGTCCTCTGAACCTCCACATGTTGCCAGCTTTCAACAAATTTATTTGGAATGCCCAAGAGCACATAACACCCACCAGTTCATATAGCCTTTAAAATCTATAACTTAAACTTTGCTGGAACAGTTTTATAGAAATGAAAAAACATAAAACAGATTATTGAAGGAACGATAAGTCAGTCAGCATTTACCTACTTCAAATGCCAGCAAGAAATATTTACTAATAAAACACCATTCAGGGTTGATCTGTGGGTAGATTGATATTCTAAAATAAATACCTAGATTTCTCATTAACCAACCTCCTAAGGACTACTGTTGTTTTCAAGAAAGGGATCTCAAAACATCAACCCGAGATATTGAGATCGTGAGTTGAATGCCTTTGCTGCTCGTCCACGGTGTCTCTTGATGAACTGTGGTGAACAGTTCAGCAAACTAATGTGGATCGTTAAAATTATTACAATCTTTCGTAATTTCATAGTCTTTTTTACTTTTAAATTCCACAAATTCCACAATGCTCACTTATCTAATCACTTTTATTTTAGGTGCTAAGAAGAGAAAACAAAACCTCCTTAAAGAGAATAGAAAAAGGTATTATTGCATGGAAGAAATGCAGTACAGTCATGACATGTGTGCCTCTACTGACTGCTGCCATCCAACCAATCAAAAAAATACATGGGTGCAATGTGATGACTGTGATAAGTGGTTTCATTTGAAATGTACTGGATTAACCAACAAAGATGTATCAAATGACAGCACTCTATTTCACTGTGGTTGTTCATGACAAGACCATTTGCATATTAATATTTGTTTTACAAAAAATTCTCAAATAGTGTATAAATGCTTTATTATTCTATAATCCAGTTTTAAAACCATTAGGTGTGTTGAAATTTTTGGCAAACCTCTTAAACTAGAAAGTACAATTTAATGGTGTCATATAATTATATAAAACTCTGTCTCAACTATTTGGAGAAAAGGAGAGAAGAATTTGTTCATATAAAAGTGGTTTTTGTAACCATTTTGAAAACTGGTACATTTTTTTGTTTTTACCCATAGCTATGCCAGTGGTGGATCCAGGCTACCACCATTACCGCTCAAGTGGTAGTCAGATTATTCAAAAAATTATAAAAACAAAAAACATTTTTATGGCTATTCTACTACTTTAATGAGACCATAGTTAAAGATTGAAAATATTTGACCACACTGCAAGCCAAGCATTCCTCCCTAGAGACATGCCTAAAATTGTGATAGAGATAGAAATGCTTTTTAATCCTTATCGCTATGGAAATTGCGTGCGGCATCACATGATTGCCAATAAAAAGCTACCATGAGGTAATGATGAAATCATGGCTTGCTAGCTAGGGGGGTTGAGTCTGTGTAGAGCGGATTCAAGCAGAGCTGAGAGGTAGTCAGCCTGCATAGACCAATCAAATCATCAGAAATCATAGCCAACATGGGGGGATGCATACAACTTTTTGTTGACAACCAATGAACAAAAGAGTTGACTACCACTCAGATGGGGGGTTGAGTAGTACAGCCACTCAACACAGCTCAAACATTACAGAAAGATAGGTGGTGCCTACATATTCTGCAAGTGGACAAACTGTAACTTCAAAGCCGATGTGACCCATTATTTAGTACAACACACAAATATTGGGGGGAATATATTTTATAAGAATATTTAGACTCAAATTGCTAAAATTTAAGAAGGCATCAGGATTAAAAGTCAGGCCCACAAAGTTAGCCTAAAGTATGATTCTTTGTTTAAAAAAAGTTGCTCTCAATAATTACAAATTTTATATGGCTTTTTAAACTTGTAATTTCCAACAGGTCTGATTTTCATAAGTAATTGTGCGACTTAATGTGAGTTTTAGGCAACATTTCAAAATTCTGCCAAAGATAACGTTTTTTTCTTATTCAATGGTGTTCCTTAGTCTAAATGCGGTAAATGTTTTTAGAATATCCAGCCGCAGAATAATTACAACGATGATTTGTTGCTTCTCAAAGTTGTTGTAAGAATACTTAACATTTCACAATAGCGCCGCTTGTGTCTTGAAAATGGTCTACATAAGAAATTATAGAAAACAAAAATCATTTTAGAAAACAGGGTGTTACCAGGAAATGGGTGTGACCTAAAGGGTGTTGTCGACCCTGTATCTCATTTCGGCGGTAGTCAGATTTTTGGCTGGATTCGCCACTGTTGATTTTCAAGTGGCAAGGCTCTCTAGTTTTTTATTCAAAGCTTTTCTCTTTCTTATATACAAGCTAGCTGTTAATGCTTTTCGAAATCAGTAAATTACTACAAAAATTGTCCTTGAATTTTTATCCTAGAGCAACAATCAGGAATAGAATTTGTCCTCTGCAGTCTCTCGCATTACTCAAGAATAGTTAGCCCGTTAACCGACCCAGAAAAAAATGCATACCTTGTTGGTTAACAGGGGCACTGAAAGGGGGAGGCAAGGGGGCAAATTTCCCCAGGGCCTCGAGGTCTAGCGGGCCTTATAAAGAAATGGCTTCCATTTTAAGAATGAAATTACTCGAGCAAAAGTATGCCTATTAATAGTAAAACGTTTGCAAGAAATGACTGCAAGAAATTTTCTGCTAATCATTTTAAGATAATCTGAAGGAGTGTTCGCAAAAATTCTCTGCTCGCTCCGCCCTGGGGCTTCGTCTTTCCGTTTTGCTCCAGGGCTATCGAAACCTTACGGTGGCCCTGTTGATTAACAAGGTCCCATATCTAAAATTTTAAACCACTATGAGTTTTTATGATCAGTGAAAACGGATTGCATTATTATTTTAGATGTAGTTACCTGCATTTTTTACATGTAGTAGATCTGATGTTTTGTTAACGGTTTTAATTCAAGGCAAATGCCTGTTCCTAACAGTGGAAATTTATATACAACAGGTCAACATGATGCACGTTACGTTTTATGCAGTCACCCTCACCAGTCCACATCAGTCTACAAAATTGTTAGGAAGCAGAACTATGGACAAGAATTTTGAGTGTAATTTGAATTATAAGGCAAGAAATTGAGAAAAAATTGTGGGCAGGATTTCTGGGAAATTCTAAGTATGAGACTGTTTTTAATACTCAGTTCATAATTACAGGATGGCTAGTATTCTCAAAAGGGCCAGGGTTCAGAACTGAGCAGAGAATGTTTGATCCCATCCACAAAATAGTCACCTACTAAGTTGCGTATTAATCTACACCTATTTTGCTCAAGAAACTTTACAAAATCCTAATCTCTTAACACGTCATTCCTGTTCGCATTTAAAGATCAATCCAGCATTCTTTGAGTCAACAGGTAAAAACCACAACATTTGTCGTAGGAACAAAACTGCACTTTCCGTTTTCGTTTTATGTGTAAAAAACTACACACAAAGGCCCTTTTAAATTCCAACTTGTCAATAAGCTTTTTTGAAAATCAACTTTCAATTTGAATTTGAATTTGTCCTTTTCTACCTCGTTTGGAGTAATTGTGACAATCTTTCAATTTTTTCCTGCACCGTAGAAACCTGTGCACTTCTTTTGGTTAATTCTCTTTGAGCCCTTTTACAAATTTTCCCCAGTAGTGAAAATTTCTTAAAAAGGGCTCCGGTTCTTTTGCCCATAAATACTCTCCAAATGTGGCGCGAAGAGAATTTGTGGTTTTTGGGTAACATGCTGCTGGGAATTCCACGTACACCCTGTCGATGTTGCCCCTTCAAATGCCCCTTCAACTACCACTGTGCCCCTTCAAATGGTGTTATCTGATGCGCTATCATTACACATAACATATAAGGAAAGGCAGTTCAAAGAAATTCAGTTTTTATGTCTTTTTAAAGCATCATCCATCATATTTCTTAGACATATAACCTGGTTCGAAAATACAATACTCTATAAATGATTAAACAATGTTGCATTAGATCCTTGCAATTAACGACATTGAATTTCATAATTATATTCGATCGAATCAAAAACGCAAATAAAAATTTATGTATTAATCTCAAGGTGTGTCTGATATTAGCTGACTATGTTAATGAATCAAGTTATTCCTATTGATGTATCCTGCATCAACTGCTCCTGCATCAACAAGTTTCAATTACCCGCAGATCCCGAGTTTATAACAAGTAGCAATGGCTTTAGCGGCTTTTCTCACTCGAATTCGAACACGTACACGGCGAAACAGCCTTCTACCCCACGGGGACTTCTTCGGCATCTCCACATTATGTTCTTCTGCCGATTCTTCGAGGTCTGGGTCGAGTGCTCCTTCGAAGTCTTCTTCGGCGCGCACACCTTCGGGATCATTTCTCAGGGCAATTTCATTGCGCTTCAATTCTTTAAGGATTTCTCTCTGAATCGCATCTACTTGGTCCTCTTCGCTGACCCCACAGCTCACCATGCATATCAATGATAAACTTGCGATGGCAATGAACAGTTTCATTTTGCTACAAAGGAAAGTACCTTGAAACCATCACAAACGAATTTTTAAAGCTACATAGTCAAGATGATGCAACATGCTGTAATTTGCTGTCTTCATTTTTTGCGAAACGAAAATTGGCTGTCAAAACGAAAACTGGATTGCCTTTTTAACTGTTAGGTGGTCTTAATGCGGTTTTTCATTTTGCTTTTAATGAAGTACTCAACTGATTTTCAACTTTTAGCAAGTTTTGTTACTGTTATCTGATGATGTAGTGTTCTGTTTTTTAAGCAGTTCTTTAGATAATTATATACCATTGTAGCTACTCAAGCGGCGCTCTTGGCCTAGATACATGTGATAATGAAAAAACAACAACAACAACAAATTAGAGGTAGCGACCTATACTCATTTAACTTCATAGTTTTGCTCTATGCTGTAAATGAATATAGCCTTGAACAATAAAAATACTTTACAATAAAGTGTACTTACATTATCTTGAGCTGAAATGTTGTTCAGAGTAGCGCCAGCAAAGATGTGTGTGATGCATCACTCTCTAGCCATTTATAGAAGCGAACTAAATTTCACTTTCCCCTTCAGAAATCCTTTCACTTCCATTTTGCCAAGATGAAGTCATCGTTTCTGTTTCGGTATGAGCCACGAGTTACAGAAATCGAAAATGAATACCTATCAAGTATGAGCTCCATTTCCAAAAATATGAACGAAACTGGTATGAATAGCACTTGATAAGTTTGTGGTTTTGACACATCATAAGATTCGAAAGCGCTTTGTAACATCAAAGTTCTTCTATGCCCCAGGCACCTCAACTCAAAATTAAAGGGCCTAAAAGACATGTACACACTAAAGTAATTTCAGTATGATAGTATTAGGATATCAAAGAGAAAGTTGCTTGTGTTATTACACATATACTTAGCAAAAAACATCGGCTTCGTCATTCCCATTTGTAACCTATAAATTACTATTATTATTACTACTATTATTATAGTTTATAAAGAAACGCCAAACAAAGCTTTAATATATTGTACATCACCGCAACTTTCTTAATTGAGAAAAATAAGGCAGTCTGGAAACAGGAATTCGTCCCACGCCGCCATTTCTTCAGAAAAAAGGGCATTCTTATGCCCATTTAATTGTCTATTATTGCATTACATAAGGTACTTCTTGGTGTTTAAGCCAAAAACATTCGGCCTGAAAAACACACTTTACCAAATTATCATGGAGGAAATTAAAATGTATTTCTAATGAGGAAGGAGGGAAAAATTCTTGGGATCAAGTTCCTTTACACTGCAAAAACAACCTAGGCTCTTCGGGTACTAGGCTACCCTGGGTAGCAGAGCCACAAAATTTCGAGCACGTAAACAGAATGCCGAGCAGAGAAACGAAGGAGCGGTTAGCCAAGAAGAAGGAAGTGGTTTTCCTTCTTCTTGGACAGACACTCATCCGCTTTTCCACTCCTATCTTCTGTTTCCTTTTCAATTTATGTGGCTCTGGTACCCAGTGTAGTACACGGCAAAATTTGAGTACTAGGCCCTTTTAAACATCTCTAGTTTTATAGAAAATCCCCTTCTGAACTTTAAAAGCCTAAAGGTCTTAACTTTGAAGTTTTATTGCATATTAAAACTTGATGATACATAACAAAAGTACGCCGTAATATATTATTTCAAGGGATTTGCAAAGATACTCTCGAGGATTCCCAAGGTAACAGTCCATTTTGTAATACATATGGAATATATGTTGTTTTTCGCGATAATGAAGTGTCTTCGCCTTAAGTACCCCCTTCCACCTTACATCAAGCTTGATCCATATATTATTCAGAATGTAGTTGTGTTACGTCATTAGCTTCGTGGCGGGAACAGACCCCGCTGAAATTCCAATAAAGGCGTGTTTTAGGCATGGTTTATGGAGGTTTCAAAAGAAATTTTTATCTTAGTAAAATGTATTTAAATATGTCAATCCGATTTTCGATACCTTTAACAAAAAAGTAAAAAATTAGTACAACCAAAAAATTTCTGGCAGGATTTTACAACGGGGCATTCGACCACAATCTCCGACTATAAAGTCCCTGAGTTACTTGGCGAATAAGATATTTTGTTTGTTAGGAATCAGTTCGCATCTTTGCATAAATCCTCAACCATATCCAAAACATACCGCTACCACCCCACTCTTTCAATCCTCAACGCAGAGTCAGCCATGTCAAGAACATACACCAAACCTCATGTCTTGGTTTGGGGGCTAAGGGAGACAACAAACTCCCATCCTTTGTATATACACACAGCTGTACTCCCATCCTTTTTTGCGCATTATTCCTTGTCAATATATCTACTGCTCTTGGTGACAATCTTTTGAGTTGAATTATGTTTATATATGTTTAGATAGTGAAACAATGCCAAAGTTAGGCCAAAAGAAATAAGTCTTGTATATGAAGAAAGAAAAAAGTCATTTTTATACAAGTCAAGGTTAAAATTATTTTGCGATACAAATTTCCTTTGCGGCACATAATCTTACACTACAATTTAGGAAAACTGCCTGCAGCTTCAAGATAAAATTGATGCTAGCAAAAATTTTGCGTCTGAAACTACTTAGACTACATCTAGAGGTTAATTGTGACTAAAAAAGATTTTTGGTATGAAAAATAATCTAGCAATGCTAACATTGTATTATGTTCTTAAGTATCTTAACATTGACGAGCAAATTAGACTGATACAGGTTTGAATCTCTAAAAAGAGTACCTCCACAAGCCGCCAAAACGATACTTTTCATTAAGTGAATAGAAACTATTGATTAAGTGAATAAAAATTTCAAGGGTATGTTGGTAACAAAAAACCAGCAACAGGCACCATATGTCTGATGCAATCTATTGAATGAAAGTCATACCATCTCAAAGTTTTGGTTCAACTGGAAAATGTTCATGCCGAGCTTTGACATAAACCAAACCTTTTACAGTGACAGTTAGTACCTCGCCATCTTTTGTATCATCATGAACGAGCTCAATAAATCCTTTGGCAACGTCTTCAATCCTTAAAAAAATGGAGAAAATTTGTATTCAAGGCCGGCACTATACTTTTTAAGCATGATGATATACCAGAAAAGTCTAAGTAGATGGAGAGCTATGTGCATAACCCAATGTCAAGGAGTAGGATCAATAACTTTTTTTGGGAGCACTCCGTCCCTAAGCCTATGTAAAGGACTTTCGCCGATACAACTTTGGCTGGGAGCCACCGCTCCCTCGCACTTAACAAAAACATTCCGCAGTAAGCACGCGCAAGCGGGAGGCATGTGTGGTAAAAGAGTGGCAGACTTCATCTAAAGGCATCAATCCAGAAGGAGAATATTGGGAGAAGTTCCTTGCTACCAAACCCTCCAGATTGTCTTAAAATAACATAAAATCATACTTTATTGTTCGAAACTTAAGACATTTTATGGCACGTTTCTCTGCCTTGATTCTCTTTTTCTTACTTTTCTCGTGGAAGGTACATTCTTAGTCGGATGGACATTTTGTGCATATTTTTAGAGCTAAGGGTGAAATGTTGCTTTATTACAAAGACTTTTAAAAATTGTTACGACTGGGAGCTGGTAAAAATAACTATACGCAGCAAGGTAAAAAGGCCCCTGTTTTAGTAGGAAATTGAGATTCGTTGTAGAGGACGTTTTTCGTCAAATAATGATTCAATGGTTTCTAAAGCTCTGACAGACATGCATAAAATTTATGGAACGCATGTGCAGAATAGGCGAGGAGCATTATCTACTCGCTGGGCCCCAGAATTACACGACAATGCGACCAAACGAGCACTTTCTGCCCTCTTCTTTCCCCTCTGGTCAAAGACACAGGAGGCAGCTGTCCTCTGTCCCCTTGTTCCAGCATCGCTGGAGAAGCATTAGGGCCTTGGGAGGCTTATTATCCTAAACATTAGGCCAAACAAATTTGACGGGAGATCGTCTTTATACCTATCTGTTGACAAACTCTCGCGGCCTTCAGAATATTATGGCGACTGTCATAACGGTTATGGTTAGGCTGAGAATTGGGGAATAGAATAAAACAGCATGTCCCTTCCAGCATTAGAAACAAAACTCTTTCCCACAGAGAAAAGCCTCTTCGATCTTGCAGATCAAAACAACCAGTAAATATGCTTTTGTGTAGACAGAAGCACCATTAAGTTTTGTACCATTAAAAGATTACTAACCATCTTCTATTAAAAATAATGAACGCGATTAATGACACTGCTCGTTGAAGTATACCAGAAGAAGGCAGAAAGTGGAGAGAGACCTGGTTTTAGGTCTCCGGAAAAACCAAAAAAACGGAGGGGCATATCACTCCATAAAAATTTCTTTCTGTTTTCGCGAAAGTCCTGAAAAAATTTTTAAATTCCCAATGTTCAAAATCTCGTACTTTGTTGGGAAAGAGTGATTTTGATAAACCCCCCCCCCCGTAAAAATAAATATATGAACTTTACATACGGTACAATGCCAATTTTCTCAACAAATGGTCTCATTTCAGGCCTTGCTTCCAGTCCTTTTTCTACCATCGTCGTTGGAGAGAAACTTGGGCACAGGCAATTTACTCGTATATTTTCCCTTGTATTTGCTTTCTGAAAACAAAATTTATTATTTCACAAAAACTTAATTGGATACAAAGGAACTACAGACAGTGAATTTTTCTACATTTGACTTCAAATAGTAAAAAAAAATTTTGATTGGGAGAGAAATTCCCTAAATTGTAAACATGAATACTTCATCCAATTTTAAAGTTGTTATCAGAGCTGAAATAATAATCATACATAGAATGTCAGCTCCCCACTTTAATAACTGGGTATTTCGAAGCAAAAATTTAGAACAAGATAAAAAAACAAATAAGCCACAATTGACATGATAGAATGGCAAAAGAAAGTGGAAACATTTCGCTACATATTAAAGTAATTTTCTTTATTATCAGGATACGAGTTATGAAATATTGTCAGGATACAAGGTTTGAAGCAAGTTTCTACCCACTGTCTAATACATTTGCTTTTTCATAAAATCATATATCTGAGTTCAAACAGTATTTAAACCATCAAAATAAACTTGGCACACTGTGCAGAGTTTTCTAAGTGTGCTTACTTGATGGAAAATTAGTATTCCTAAAAATCTCAACCAAATCAGTTCCAATGGAGCACCTTGTTGAACATCAGGTGCAACATCAGGTGCAAGGGAGCTAAGATTAGATTCATTATAGAGTATGGGACAAAAGAGATGCATTAGAATATGGGACAAAAGAGATGAAGCCTGCAGTATCCCTAGTGTTACGAATATCTTGAAACAAACCTATAATAAGAAGGCAGAAAGACTGAAAGGATAGGGACACTTTATCAATATAAAAATAAATATTCCTTTGACACTAACTTGAGAAAAATACTTTAAAACAATGAAGTGTTTTTCATTGTTATCAAACAGCACAGCCTTATTAAATCTTTGACAAAAACTATACGTTCTAATAATTTTTACCAGATTCATATTCCGACATGCTACACAGATTTGATTAATATTAAAATAGGGGCTGGTTCTTTTATACCACAAGATAATTATGATGAAAAATATCATACCTTAAGACTCTGAGTGAATCCAACAACACCAAACTTTGTTGCAGAATAGACTGGTGCATCTCTAAAGGGAAACAGCCCTAGAGAAAACAAAAACAAAATTACACTATCATGAAATGTATTTGAAGGAAATGTATTACATATCAACAATAACAAATCTATCGGACTTTTACACCAATGTATGGGCAGACAAGACACTTGCAACCATCTTTGCTTCTTTCTTAGCAAACTGTTGAATCTTAAGGATTACATTTCAGTTTTTAGAATGAAAAAGGTGCAATAGGGCACCTCTTTTTAGCTGATGTGTGTCTTATGCAGTCCTAAAAGCTGACAGGACTTCAGTAAATCAAAATTTTGATCAAACCTGACAATGATCCAACATTGACAATAACGCCTCCAGCTCCTTTGTTAGCAGCTTTCATGTGCTTTATTCCAAGGAATGTTCCATGTATCACAGATGTCTGGTTGCAGTCAAGATAAAAGAAGAGGGTAAGTAAGCTGAGTCATAATTTTTGTGCTGTGATGCTAATACATCAATCAAGCCCAAAATGAACCCATACAGAAAAGGCCTATTTACTATGACACAATACCTTTTAAAAAAAATAACCTAATTGAAAAATTAATAACACATAAAGTTGAGGTGGTTGTTTATCAAAGTACAGAACTCACACCAAAAATACTTTCAACAACATCGGCATGTCTTGTTCATTAACTACATCATAAAAATGTCACAGAAATTGAAACAGAGCAGATCAAAAACAGAACAGATGCTATTATGCTTTGGTATATAACAGCTCAAATCTTAAGACTTAATGCCATTTACCATGTAACTCAAGTGGATCACTATTAAAAACTGTACAGAAAATGAAAGTATCCTGAGACAACAAATATGTGCAGTTTAGAATTGAATTTATCCTTAGGCATCTAAAATGTATGTATACACTTAACAATTATCAGATCACTAATAAATGTTCTCAACATGTAATAAACAAAAACATTTCCCAATTTCAAGAAACATCATTTTTTAAATTGATATAAATAATGACATTTGCATTGAGAAAGAATAATAAGCATTTGAGGACAAGCTCCCATTGAATCATTGAATCAATTAGTCTATCTGTAGATTAAACAAATCACAAAGCACACTAACCAGATTAAGCTCAACAAGCTTTTTCCAGTTATGAACCAAGCCACCAGCATTGTTACATAGAATATCAAGCCTGCCAAATTTATTTATTGTCTCGTTGAAGGCTCCTTAGAAAACAAAGGAGATCAATGTTAGTTGTTACTTTGGTGAAATTTCACAATTGAACTGTAAAACCTCTACATGGTCAATGAACTGTATTTGAAAGTCGAGCTCTTTGTTCAAATGTCACTTTCACAAGATTTTGAATGTAAGGAGGAAATCTTGAGTTTTAAATTTGGCCCATTTGAAGTTCTGGTTTAAGTTAACAAGTAATAGGAGCTTCACCTATGAGTGCACTTGGCCTGAACTTTTTATGCTTTTAACTAGATTGTAACATGAACAGCTATTGCTGATTATTTAATTCCATTTTCATAAATAGAAACAAATAGACAAAATTGTAAATTTGACACTTTCTCCAAAACAAACTTTAATTAAAAAAGTGCAGCACTTTCCAGTGTCGGTAAACAGCTGGACAAGGTAATAATAGTTTTGCGGCCATTCCAACTGGATGTGAATAATGAAAGACTAAGTAAGTGTAGACTCTACCTATCTTTAACTCTATCCAAAAGCTTGAACCAGACCGTAATATTGTCAAGTTATATAACCTTAGACCCCTTTTTCCCAATAAGCCCCCAACATCATTTGTTGCTCAGCCTAATTGGCTTGGAAAACCTCTTGTTCTGTATTTGTTTAGAATAGATTTTAGTTTAAATGAAGATTGCATTTACCTTCAAGATGATCTGTATTGGTGACATCACAGTGAATGAAGTGGGCACTCCCTTCTCCAAATTCTTTGCTAAAATCTTTACAAGTCTTCAGTCCTGTCTCATCATCAATATCAACAACTGTCACCTGTTTCAATCAAACAAATATAAATTTATAAATCTTAAATTAGGCCACACTACCCTAAATATATATGAAAACATTATGTAGAAACAAAAAGACATAGCAGTTGGGGGCACAAGTGGTACTTTTCTCCACTCAAGATTTTACAAGTGACGTTTCAGAAGGATTAAGTGCTTCTCTTAGGTTAATTTCAACTGTCACAGTGCCTTTTTTCCTACTCCTACCAGACCGGTCTGCAGAGTATGGCACTTTTTGACGAGATCTCCAGTGTGCACGAGCAAAAAGCCTGGCGTGCCGGTGTGCACCATCAACAATTTCTGGTGTGCTGGTGTGCACCGACTATTTTTCCCTGTGTGGTTAAAATTTGTAAATTTGCATTTCACCGTAAAAATGTGTGTGAAGTACACTGTTGAAGATAGCGCAAATTTTTATTTGTATATTTGTCAAGTATTACTTGACTTGTTTTTATCAGCTGACATTTTCTATGGGACCAAACCCAGCCACGCCCGTCTTAGTTGCCACACCCAAAAATATCCGGTGTGCAACAAATTTTGCACAAAAATATATCCAGTGTGCACATGCCATACTCTGCAGACTGGCTACCAGACAGGAAACTTTTACTCCTAGACGTCGTTGTAACTGGTGAATAAATAGATAAGTGCCCTTCCAAAAGTCAAGTTGCATGCTAAAGGTATAAATCATTCCAGTACACTCCTTGATTTACACTCTTAAACTAACATTTCAAACGATGCAATATGCAGACATAGCTTAGACCTAGATTAAGTAAGTACATCGAATAATCAATTCTTTGTACCTTGCCACCTCGCTTAAGCAGTTCACGTGAAAATGCACGGCCGAATCCTTGGCTTCCACCAGTAATCAAAGACACGCTACCCTTCACCTTCATTCTTGGTTAAACACTAAGTTCAAGCGTAGTGTAGTGTACGTTCTTCCCTTCTGCCTATTTGCTCGAAGTCCACTTCCTACCATCCTCGAGATGATCTCGAGGCTGTGGGGGCATTAGCAAAAATGCCAATTATTTTGTAATATACTACCAGTAAAGCATCTTTTCATGCGGTTTTAGCTGCCCACTTTTTTTGACCCCCCACTTTTCGCAACGCTCCGCAGTGCCTGAGAGGCTAATGCTAAATGTCAGGGGCGTCGAGAGGGGGAGGGGGGTTATGAGAGGCAAAAGGTCCGGGGCCCGTGCTCCGATAGGGCCCCTAATAAGGTAACAAGATTTTTTACAATGCAAAAAAGCTATCATTTCAGCTAAATCATACAAAATGAATGCCCGGCAATTTATCGCAAAGAAATGTCCACATGTCCTTGATTCATGTTAAATATTTTTATACATTCTTGCAAAAGTCCTTGTGAAATTTTTTTCAATAAATGTATCTAATAAGCGCACTCCCCTTGTTCGCTGGGAGACTGAAGGGCGTGGCCACAGGAAATTTTCAAAAGGTGGTCAAATTTTGTAAATCACCCCTGGGCCCGAACTGCCTCTCGACAGCCCAGCGTGAATGTTAGAGAGTTAACTAAAAGCAAATAGAGATTTACATATTGATTTGATAACAGTAACTATTACAAATTTAAAGCTGTGGGACATATGAAAAAAATTAATTAGAGCTATCTAGCCACATGCCCCCTGTTTGATGTGAAATTGTGTTGTAATAAAATGTGAAGTATCAGTTCGATTTATGAAGTATAAGAGGTCAAAATAAAAAATGTTGGCATATATGTATCATGTACAACATTCAAAATTAAGTGTAATTCAAGCTACATAAGCAAATAGTATATTGTCAATGTATTTAGGTACAATAGGATATTTCTGAAGGAACAAACAAAATAATAGTACGCTAAAAGTAGAATAATATTAATGTTAAGATGTGGTTATGATCGCATAGTCTATTTAAGACTAGAAAGATAGATAATGACTACAATGAGAATAAGATTATGAAAATAGGAATAATATTCTCAACTAGATTAATTGGCTTCTTGATTAAAACTCAGTGATTATATTCTAATAGGAACATCTTCATCTCTCAAAAAATTTGATAATTAGTTTCACAGTCGGATATCCAGTAACAACACCACTCATACTATCAGTCAGTGACGCTGCCAAAGAAGAATTCCCATAATTTTAAGAGTTTAAGGGTTTAAGAGAAAGCCAAAATCCCCTTAACTGAGCTTTATATGAGAATCATCCCATCAACAGAAGGGTCTCTTATTGCAAAGGGAGGGGACAAGAGACAAATTTTCCGAATGATTTTAGAAAAATTTGCAAGAAAATGTGGCTTTTTATTCGTACATTGTTTTTTAGAACATTTCCGATAAAATCATATCGTAAAATTATGCCAAATGTGCAAGGGACAATCAAAACTTTCTTAGGCAACTCTTTGCCAAATAATGACAATTAGCAGTAACAGTTTGCTGTAAGTTTTCTGTACCTAAACAAAAAAAACATTTGATATTGTTGTAAATTCCACATTTAGTGGAATATTGTGGACTTTTCTGAGTGATTCAACATTCGGACAATCATTAGATACATTTTTGTGTTTTTAAACTTAAAGTTCACATTCATTCACCGAGGTTCATCACCTTCCTGAAAATGTACTTGCAGTTTTCGCATGACAAATATATGCTAAACAGATCCGTCGCTAGCTATTGTGCTCAAGGGGGGGGGGGTTGTAGACCAGGCGGAGGATAGGGGAATGGTCGCCCAAGAGCAAACTTTTTTGGACCAATTGCTTTATGGGACCAAAGGCCTTATTTTTGTATGAATAAATAAAAATGAAATGAAATGGGCAGGGTGGAATGACACAGGGAACGCGCACTCTTCTAAGATTAGAGGGGCTGAAATGTGGGTGGCCGTCAATTTTTGAGGCTACGCCCTCTAGAACGCCGGAAAATGCCCCTTTTTTCAAAATCTTGCTAATTTCTACTGAAATTTTATAAACAGTCTAGTTTAGAGAAGATATCGATAACTACAAAAAGAGTAATCAAACACCAAGCTAACCAAGTTATAAAATACTCATTAAACAAGATAGAACACCTAGAAACTGGACAAAACGGTTCCCAGTCAAAAGGAACTGCTACTACTTAGGAGTAAACGACCCAAATTGCGTTAGAGCGTTAGAGTAAACCTTGCAAAAAATTTCTAGCCTTTTATTGCAAAAATTGGGGGGGGGGGCTATAGCCCCTGCTAGCCCAATGGCTGCCCGGTGCCTGGACTGACCCGGATGGCTAGGCTGCGGTCGCCAGCCGTGCACCTCCAAATTCTGAAAAACAGGCCCTCCATTAGATGAAATTTCGAGTTTATGCATAAATCCATAACGATAAACCCAAGCTTTGCTGATTGGAAACAATGGTCATCCCGCATAAATTCTGTGGAGCTGATTGAAGTTCTGCAAATTAATATCAATTTTAGGAGTATACGAATAAGGTGTTTAATGCCCACACCTATTTAAGGCCTTGGCACGCCCTAAGGGCCCTTTTAGAACCACAAAGCCACCCCAGAAGTTAGGTGTGACGAGAGGCATTTATACAGGTGCAAGGGGAAACGATACAGTTGTCTCGAGATCAATACCTTTTTTCTTGGCCCAGTGTCACCTGTCATGGAATTAGGAAAGAGATAATGGACAGAGCTCGAGGGACATGTTGCGACCACACCCTATTTCATCATTTCGTGCTATATAGACCATTCCACTTCAAACAGCTAGTTTTATTAATGTCGTCCATCTTTTGGGGAAATCTTATTATTTCATCTGAAAATCCCTGATAATTGTGTTGTTTCCGTAGAAATCTCGTACGTTATTGGCAAGAGTGATCTGCCCCTCAGTTATTTTCATTTGGCAAATATTGCAAAAGGAATGTCTGTTCCTACCCAGCAAATATCTATCAGTTTGGGAAGATTTTTTTGGGCCTAGTATGGGCCCCAATGGAATGCTTGTGATGGAAAGTCGATAAAAATGTACTCACGAATGATTTTCCCGATTACATTTTGGCCGGTTTTTCAGGGCCTCCGATCAGGAAAACTTTTCTTTCTTTGAAACAGATAACTAAACCGTAGAAGCTGTTGCAAATAATTTCAAATTTTCTTACTGTTTACGGTGACAAGAAACCTGTTTTTGCTCCAAGTTAAATTTCCAATGCTTTGAATGATTAGCGTTTTTTGTAAAATCACCGGTGGCTCTGTTTTGTCAACACAGACGGTCGCCAACTGCGACATGAAGAGGGTATCCGTGAAGTAACACCAATAACCTTCTCATAAACAAAGCCAGGCATCAACACCGCACTTATTAAATAATCAGTTTCGGGATTTAATTAGCTTACCATCAATAATCTATCACGTAGTATCACGAGAACTTCAGCCAAGTGGAAACAGATGTTTACAGGTAACAGAAAAGCACTTACATACAAATATAACTGGCCTAGTTTAGGTTCACCATGTACAGAAAGGGGGCAAATACGACAGTAAACAACCATGGATACTCAAATATTGATCGAAAGCACTTACAAGGAGAGAGTTATGCAGCAAGATTGAAAGTTCCAGGGAGAGGCGAAATGCAACGATTACAGGATCTTGGTGTTGCAATTGACTGGGTAACTGAACAATTGGTAAGGAGATTTTTTCCTGTAAGTTTATCAAAACATGTGGAGCATGTATACGAAGAATTGATATACATTTACGAGGCTACTGATATTCTTTAAGAGGTCGAGCCCGGCTTCCCTGTATTCGTCATGATGTTGACTGTCTTCTTGACGCTTTTAATTAGATGCACTAAAGCTTAAAATTATTGCCATAGTTCAACTTGCAAATACCAAAAATATATAGCGATAGCCATACCTTAAATGTTTTGTCCCATAGTTTCTCTCAGTGGCGGAAATTGCGGGGTGTGAGAGGGGCAACCGCCCCCCCTGGTTTTGCCAAACTGTCGGTTTGTCATTTTTCGTATGTCATATGTCATTTGTCGGCAAATTTGCTTTGTGGGTATTGTCCCCCCCCCCCCTCCCCATTGCATTTCCGCCACTGGTTTCTCTTATTGCAGTAAGACTTTCCATTGTTTCTCTGGAATCAAAGGGAACAAGAGTTTAAAACGCTGTAGAAACATAGTTGTTTTGTTTTCGGAAGTATACATAATTAACTTCATGGTCATTATTCTGCTCGATCTGTTGCAATAATGTTGTCTAAGACATCTCACTTACTGTTTGAAAATACTTTGCAATCAAAAGAGAACCCAATTGATTCCTTATTATCCTACGATTATAGTAAAAATATGTATAGAAGACATAGATAGTTTGTAAACCCGTATCATTGTAACAAACAAAACAAAATTAGAGGAATTCAATTTAGACACCAAATCGTTGCTGAACTTTTGCACACCAGACTCTTTACGATCTTCTATCAAATTCGCTTCTTTTGAAAAGAAATTAAAGTGCATTACTGGCAAAAGTATTTCAAATCTAGTAACTAATTGTGAATTTAGTTTGAAATCCTTAGGAAAATCTTATTATTTGCTGACGGTGAACTTTGTTACTAAAAATTACGATGAATCTTGTTATAAAGAAAACCATGTTGAATCTTGACAATCTTTTCTGAAAACTTAAGTCGGCGTATTCTGTCTAGCAACACCATGCAATCACGCGGAAAGAAAACGAACAAGATACGTTAACAACATACACTCTTTTTTTATAAGAACCAGTAAATTTAAGTTCAGGCTGACTGCTCTTAAAAATCTGAGGCTGAATTGTTCTTAATTTGTTCTTAAATTAAGAGGGTGTAAGCAGAGCTATTGCTAGCTTTTCGCTCTAAGAAGATGTTCAGGCCTCATTTGCCAACAAAGTGAGTGAGACAGCCTCAATTTGCTGACAAATTTGAATATTCACCCAAAAAGCACCCACACATCGCTAAAAACCCGATTTTGAGAAAAAACGTTGTTCAAAATTCCATTTTGCAGAAGCTCATCCTCAGCTTGTTCTTAATTTGTTCTTAGCTTTTGACCAGTTTTGAGGCTCGTGTTCTTATAAAATTTTTCTTATAAAAAAAATAGTGTACTAGGCCAAGGGACCCAAGCTTCAGGACAAGGGCATGTGACGAATAATTTCCAGCTTCTACCCATGTTTTCGTTATTGATTTTTTCATTTCGAACTGCTGCAGTTATCTAGAAAGTTGCTATTGCCACCAAAGCCTAAATATTGGGAGGAGAATGAAAGTAAAGGAAATGTTTCCCTCCCATCCCTCTATTTCTTAAGCTCCGGTGCCCAGGGTTCATGAAAAGGGGAAGGCTTCTAGCGCATCAAAATGTTTACACGTTTGTATAACAACATCATCAATACAATGAGAAAATTATTGATAAGGGCATTAGGCCTACAGTCAAAATTTCAAATAAACTTCCTTGACAATAACAAAACCCCAATAAAACGCATCAGTCGACCACCGTAGCGTACGTTAGCATAGATTCATTGAGAACTCAAATTAGAGTTTTTTAAGGAGTGAAACTTGAAAAAGTCTTATCAAAGAGAAGAAGGAACATTTAAAAAATTGCAAGAGTTTTAAGAACATAACTTACCAGCAATGCTAGTTCCTATTGCTCCTGTGGTTGAGGCCCCTCTTCTACTCTATGCAAGCGTCTGACGTCATTTTCTCCATTTTATGTCTAGAAAAGCATGAAAGAAGAAGATCGATACATCATGAAGCAATTTGTTGTGATACGGGCAGATATGAATAAAATCAAAGAAGAAAAAGCATCAAACCCTGTGAGGCGCTCCTCCTTAGATATACCAAGGATACCTGAAGACGAAGAATTCACTGATGTCAGGAAATGCAACATGGACCCTTTTGATGTGGATGATAATATTCCATTGCGAAGGAGGGCATTGACAACTATGGAGTTTGCGTCTAACTCCGTCATTAGTCTGGACGGTAGAATGATGCCTAGACATCAAACAAAGTGAGCCTCGCAAGGCGGCATGGGATACTCTGCGCAACTTTGCAAGGGCAGAAATATCTATAAAGGGGTGACGCATGCATGTTAATTTTTGTTTCCAGTCCTCTTGCTTTTCCCGGATCTTGTCTATCTTAAGAAATGGCTGTTATTGTGATCGCCATATTTTAGGTAATTTCGTTGTAGTTTTAGAAGAGTTTTTGGGAGAGAATTAATTACAGCCTTTGTTGAATAGCTTTTAACAAAAATATAAACAGATTTCAAGACTTCTGGACACCTCATTTCACAAAACAAATGCATTTTAAACATATCTAGTATACCAGGTTGCCGGAGCGACGAAAGCTCTATCATGTAAAATAAATCTTGTACATTACGTTTCTTATCTTAAACTACAACTTGTGCATTGGTAGCATATATATTTTCGAGATATTTTTGAATAAGAAAAGTCTATCATTTTTGCTATTTCTTCCAAACCCTCTAACAAAATCTTCACCCTAAAATGGCACATATTTCCTGTATGCATCGTGGGTTTTTATTGCACATAACCCCAGCTCCTCCCCAAAGACACCTTCATCTACGGGAAATTTGAGATGGTATATAAACGTTATTAGAAGTCTGATTTATGCTTAAAATTTGAATTATTTCACTGGATAACTTCAAGCTGATAATCTTGTTATACGCTTGGCCGACCGAGTGGTTTTGGAGGCCCTAGGACAATACCGAAAGACGAGGCCCCTACAAGCTTTGGACAGAAAGTTTTTGCGGCCACGCCCTTTAGATTAGTAAAAATTCTTTCATTCGTTTGAAATGGTTTACAAATTTTAGGCATAATTTTAATACTTTAATCAAATCCATTTTAAAACGAAATTCATTACTTTATGAAGCCCCTTGACCTCTAGGCCCTGGGGCAACTTGCCCCCTTTGCCGTCCCCCTTCCCCCTTTCGGCGGTCCGGAGCACTGGTAACCTTTTCAGATACATCTAGATAACGAAATTTTCAGAGTGGAAGCAAGGCATTTTGGTATGGTAATTCAAATGAACAGCATTAGAAATCTTGCTGATTGATATTTGTCAAACTTCTCTAAAACACACCAATAATTTTTGCCCCTGATTGAATTTGTTAATAAAATGAATAACTATAATGTTCAAGTAAACGATACATTTAAAAAATAGTTACGTCATAATTAAAAAATTGATACATTCTAGCAAAAACTAAGTGACAGAAATTAATCAGGTAAATAAGAAACATATTTCTAACCGACAGACGCTCCTTTGATGGAGATTTATAAGTATATCATTAAAAAAACATCCAGGGAGTTTTACAAACTAGCAAAGAGTTTAGATATTTGTGTTTGTACTTGGGAAAAATCAATAACAGAATATTTTTTGTTTTAAATGGAACAATACAATTTTTTATACATGAAATTTCGAGTTTTTATCAATGGGCCGTCATCAATTCATAAAATAGTCATAATCAATAAAATGTCACAGCATAATTATAACTATTAAATATTTATTGGTAATTAGTAAATTTAAGTGGTGAAGCATCTTTCGGGACTGAATTGCCTCCCTCCTTTTGCACCAGAATCTATTGCTTATATACTGCACCTTATGATCTACTCGTCTCCTTTTGCTTAAGATTCAACCGCCAGATTCAGTGGCGGCGCCTAGAGGGGTATGGGGGGTAGTAAACCCCCACTTTTGTACAAAAAATGGTTCACATAACCTTTCTAGAAAAGGATTAAAGAGAGTTAGGTAGGAGTAGATCATATTTTTGCCAAATTAAAATTTTCTTGGTACAAAGCACTGAAACAAGGCAAAAGGGTTTGGTCTCACTGATCACGCCCATTACCCTCCCACTCTGCAGTAACTGATGCTGCCAGTGGCCGGATTTAAATACCTTTATCATGGTATGTCTTTTTTACTGATACGTACGGGAAAGTGTCAGTTGAATTGTAGGGGAGAAGGCTATTTAATCGTTGCGTTACATTACGCTCCTATTACTTTGAAATTTTAAACTTACCTGGAATTAAAACTGAACAATGTACGAACTCACTTCACCAAAAGCTTAGGGAGTATTTAAGCATACTGGTCCTAGCCTGTGTCCCAGACCCCTAACTTGAAAGTAGAGGGTCTGTGTAACCGAGAGCAAATTCGCGTACGAGCGTTTTCCCAGGAACTCTGGGAAAATTAATTATGCGCAAAATATGCGGCATCTACATGACAAAAGTGAGCAATGGCGTGAACAGAGCGTAGTTTGCTACAACAGTTTACGCATTCAAGTAAGGGGTCCAAGTTAGGGGTCTGGAGCACAGGCTAAATGGTCCAAGTAGCTCTTGTCCTCCCTTTGACATAATTTTCCTTCTACAGATGCTATTTTAGAGCAAAACCTACAAAAATAAACAATCTCATAAAAAGCAATCAAAAAATTGGGTGTGAAGCCGTGAGTTAAAGTGACATAAATTGTACCAGGTTGTGTTAATTAAATAAATGGTACTCTGAAGGTGCTACTTAGTCAAAGAACCTAGAAATATCTATTTTTTCTTAGTAAAAGCTTTCGCAGTTTGCTAGGATTTTACAAGATCAGCGAATCAAATATCAGAAAAACATTAGAAGTAAGGAGTCAACAAAACATTTCAACAATCTTTTTTTGCTTTATCATTTACTAGTAAGGTTTAATTAGATCGGTTTAGTGCTAGATTCATCGCAGCATAATTCTTTGGTTTACAAGTTATACAAGGTGACACTTTCTGTTGGCTTTTTTCTACTATTCTAATGGACTGGTTCCATTATATTCTTAGATGGACATCACCTTGTCATTTCTTTTTTCAGTTCACCCTTCTTTGCCCACTCTTGCAAAATTCTTAGCTAGAAGACACTGAAAACCAATAGCTGCTTAGCTAAGCAATTTTCAGGATTTGTGAAAAGTTAGCATCCGATTTGAAAAACTTGCAGTTTCCTTTTTTTTCAAAGGTTTGTAAAAGTTTAAGTGAAGTAGTTCAAAAAAATCAAAAGCATAACGAATGCAATAATTTATCGCTGAAGATTAAAAAGAATTACATAAATATTTTCTTACTTCCGTTTAATAAGATTCTCACAGAAACTTTACACAGATTACAAAACTTATTGTGTTTATTTCTATACTCGTGCTTAAAACAATTATTTACATGGTGACGGTAGTGGATTGTCATAGCAATCAAAACAGTTGAAAATTCTACTTCTACTCATCTATAAGCTTCTTGTCCTGGATCGTAATTTTATTTTGGGGAAAAGCTTGACTTGACAAGAAAGCAGAGTTAGTCTTAAAAAGTCAGAAATGCGACCCTCTTCCTTTTCTGAAATCTTTCACCATTTTTGCCATCTGTTCTACACCCTCGTATAGGCCGTCACCTGAAACAGCACACATTTGCTGGATGTACCATGGATTCTTAATGGTGCGCAATCCCAATTGTTCTACGAGGCTGCTTGCGCGTTGTGCGTTGGGCAGGTCCTGCTTGTTGGCAAGTACCTACATTGAAACATAAAAAGACTTTATTAGATGGCGGAAAAAGTTCGTATGATTCAAAACCAATCACCAAAGAAACCGTTCAAGCATCCCTATAAATCAATAAAACTTGGGGGCTCGTAATGAACAAGTTCAAACCGTGAAGTGTAAATGGTTGTATTTGCAACTGCTTCAAACAAGAAAGAAGCACAGAAGCTAAGAAATGTTTGTGTGGATATTTATTTACATGAAATCGTGTTCTACAGTATTTTTACGTGTAACAATTTCTTGCCCTGGATCATAAGGGTGGGGAAATAACAAATTAGCTGCGTGGGAGAAATGTTCCGATGGAGATAAACCCCCATTCTAATTAGGCATAAAACAATTGAAAAATCACCTATAAGTTTGAATAATTTGTGCATGGGATTCGCAAAGAGCTCTCGATCACTGGAGGTAAAGGAGTTCTACAAAACCTCAGTTATATCGAAGCCCGAAGAAAGAATCTTAAATTTTATCCCACATATAAATACATTCTTGTACATCACTTACCACAACGGGACAATGAGTTGTCATATCCTCATGAAGAATTATGTTCATCAGTTCTTGTCTTGCTTCAGCCAAGCGAGGTACATCCGCACTGTCAACAACAAAGATCAAGCCATCTGTTCCCTGTTTACGTAAAATGAAAGAAAATAGTTAAAAATCCTTGCAAAATAAACATTTGGGCTATTTAAGGCTCTATAAATAGGTTCAAAAATATTTTTATTGGCAATTAGTTGTTTCAATATTCAGTAAGTATACATCATTGCTAAACAAAATTTGATGTTGTTGAAGAAAGTTAATTTCTCCAATCAGCTATAGTCGTTGTTTAGTATCAGAAAAATCCATAACACTTTGAAATTTTGCTTAATAATAATGCTTTTAGTTTTTATTTTGATGTTTTTTCTGAATAGAACGCAGAATCGCATTTTAAACGGAGAAATTTTAAGAAAAATCTAGAACGGAGCTGAAATATCAAGGAAGTAGGTTTTTCATACCTGGAAATAATGCCTCCAAAGCTGTCGAATTTTTTCTTGGCCGCCGACATCCCAAACAGTAAAAGTGACGTTCTTCACTGGGGTAACAGTTTCAACATTAAAGCCAATTGTTGGAATCGTCGTTACATTTTCATTCAGCTTCAACTTGTACAAAATTGTAGTTTTCCCAGCTGCATCAAGACCAAGCATCAATATCCTTGCATTTTGGCTGCCAAAGGAACTGAACACAGACACCAAGCGTGAAAGCCAGAGACCCATTTTATCGTTATACCTTTCGCTTCAGGATAAGTTTACTTGCAAACACTTCTTGAGCTTGTAGCTTCAGATTGATAAACAGCTTTTCGACGAGTCAATTTATACCTTTCTAAACGAGGAATCATTTTGAAAGGGTTGGCTTTGATGTGTTGGCATTTTTTGAGGGATAATGAGGAAGTTGGCAGGTGGGACGATGCTGGCGATGCAACTTTGCGTTGCGTCAAAATTGAGACGTGTATGCGCCAAAAGGAGGCTCTTCTCAGAAACATGGAGGTTTGGGTCCCAAGCATGGCAACACTACGAAAAACAGCGTGATCACAAATTTAGTCTTGAAAACCAGGAAACCAAATTTTTGTTTCGATTCGAAGCATGAGAAGATGTGAGAATATTTGCTTACTCAAGTAGCTCAAATCACTTTCAACCGAGTTATCAAGACAGCTGCGTAATGTATCTTTGGTGTGGTATTTGTTGATACTCCGGCTCATGTTGGTTGACAAAAAATGGTTGCCAATGAGACCTTGGTTCGTATTCTTTCCCACGTGGAGAAGTTGATGAGGCATGCCACGAAGTTCGTGACACGAAATGCAAAATCACTAGTCCTCTTGTCCATTCCTATTGCAATATCTGTTTTCCTTCTTGTGGTATGGAACAGAATTCGCAGAAAATCTAGGTAAGAATAAAAAGGACAACAAAAACACTTTTCGCAAGGGCTGTTATTTTCTGAATTACGAAGCTGCCTATTTAATGTTTTGTTCATGTTTTGAAGGCCTATAGAAATTTTGTCCAATAGAGTGCGATTATAGCACGCAAAAAAGATGTCTAATGTGTATTTTGGCTTCTTTGTCAAATTATGAAGTTTTAAAAAGCTCGAAGTCAAATATTAAAAGTTAAACTAAGACGTCACGTGTCAAGATTGATAGTTTTTTTATTAAAAAAAGCTTAAGTAAGAGCAAAATTGTTCCTATGAATGCATCAAGAGCAAGTCCCGGTGATGTATTTATAGGAACAGTTAAAAGATATTTTGAATAAAATCGTTTAAGTCAATTCTGTCCATAATGCAATCTCTTAGTTGCTTTATGTTAGCGTTAATTAGTTGTAGAATTATTGCCTAACTTACACTAAATGAGGTTGTTTACAATGATGATTTTTAACTGCAAAGGATATCACACACTTTGAATTTTCATGTAACTTTGCCGGAGAAGATCACACACTTTGAATTTTCATATTATCACATTTTGCTCTCTTCCCAGTACCAGTAGAAACATTGGTTTTGGAATTAACGCTCTTACAATTTTACAGTGATGAGTGACAAAACTACCTTGTTTTTTATTTCCAGTCACACCCGATCTATTTGAGACAAAGCGATTATATCAATTTTGTAGTGATCATTTTCAAAGAAACCTTGGGTGCGAAGCTGCAAATTGGCAATAGAGGAAAATGTTTGATTTAAAAGTATGGATATTAAGTTGTCAGCAGGATATTAGATGAATAATCAAACTGAATAAGATGATACATCAGTTTTCAAAACTTTTAAAAATATCTATTTTTAGACAGCAGGTTCATAAGCATCAATTATATAATTGATGTTGTTGTTAATCATACAAAATTTACTACCAGTCATAACAAATATTATTCTCATAGATCTACAAAAGTGATGGAATTGAACTGCTGGTTTTGTAACACAGATAATATGGTCAATGTAAAAGAGAAGGAAGAATGGTACTGCAAAAAGTGTGACCAGTACAATGGATTTACCAGGTCAGGTGACTATAACAAAGAGATAGCTGAAATGTATGCAAAGTGCGCTGAAAGTTCACTTCCAAAGCATGGAAACCAAAGATTGGGTAATAAACCTTCCAGAATTTTCTTCTTCACTAAAAAAATTTGTAACCTTGTGTTTCCTTTCTAATGTTCCCAAAGAAGAATCATTTTCTTGGATTTTCTTACTGTCTAGATCTGGGTGGCACTTTATGTAAACATTTCTCCCATTTTATGAATGCAGCTAGATATTTTTGGTCTACACTTTTTATAATTGGATAAATTTATAGGCATCACTGCAGTTCATAATTTATACTGATTTTCAATTGTCTCTAGACAGCAATTCAGTCACATCTGGATACAAACTATGCGATGCCTGCAACAAAATGCAGATTCTTAAAGTAAAACAACTCGCAGCATTTATTCCAAGAAATGAGGTAATCCCTTCAGATACCTAGAATTGATGATTCAAATTTTGCATAGATAGAAGTAGTATCCAAGTCAAGGGAAAAGGAGGCCAGGAGGGGCATACCGGAAGCACTTTTCAATATGAAACATTGTTAATGATAAATAGCCAAGCTTTTTCATCTCTGTGAACCCCCTTCACCACCTTGGAGTAAAATCCTTGTTATCACTGACAAATTTAAAAGTGATGTATCCAATGACAGCAAAATTGTGCCTTTATCATTATAAATAATAATTTGCAGAAGTTCACATACATATATGATGTTGCTGGAATTGGTTAGAAGCAGTAATATTTCTCCCTGTCACTAAGTTAAAAATTTCCAAATTTTATTTTCTCTTTCTAGACCTTTTATGAATATGAAGTTGAAGAGTACAAACATCAGCTAGAGAGGCGGTACAAGCTATGCAATGCCTGCTCAAGATCTCTAAAAAGATATCTTGATGATCAAGACATGCAGATAAAAGATACATATGGGAAAGATATTGCACAATATCACCAAATAAGTGATGAGGATGAGAGAGAAGATAGAAAGAAGACGCTGGTAATTTTGACTGATTATCATGAATAACTATGTCATAGCTTTTCAATTTAAATCTGTATCTTAGAATGCCACTGATATTAAATGAGTTTTATTAACTTATGATTCTGGGAAGCTTTTATATGCTGAAAGAATTCTAATTGAAGGAATGAAGCAACTTAATATATTAAAAATTGCTCAATACCATCCATAAAATATCTACCTATTAATGTTAATTTTTTTCTATGCCAGCTGATGATGGAATGAATATTTTTTATATGCATCAAAGTTGAATATTTAAAAAATTTACCCATCATGTTTCTAAGCACAGAAACAGTTGGTTTTGCTTAGCAATATTTTACTGTTCTAAATGATTTTTTCAGAATAAACAAAGAAAAAAGAGAAAAAGGACCTTCATCAACCTGTCATTTCTATGGCCGTCAAGCTTATTAGGCCTGATATCATTGGCTTGTGCAATATTCCTTTGCTTAACTTGGCTGTCAGGTAAATTATCTGATGTAATAAGTGACATGTCTTTGGAAGTTCCCATGTTCCTAAATCTAATTGTGTTATGGCTTGTTTTGATGTTACAATCTTGTGTTCTTCAACTGATTAGAAATTTGGCCTGGCCATTTGTGGAGAGCGGCAGCACTTGCTCCCTTTTTGGCTCCCCTCAAATACTGGAAGGAGATGCAGATAGCTTCACTAAACTGTCCAAAAAGCAAATTGCTCTCCTTGAAATATCTATGAATACCGTAAAAGCTCTATTAAGCCCCTGGGGTGCTTATTTATTTTGGGTCCTAGAAGGGGGCTTAAAAGAGAAAAGGGCTTATTAGAGAGGGGTCTTATTAATAATTCATTTAACAAATGTTGTAGAAAATCCCTTTTGCATTTTTTGTAATGAAAATGTGATACAAATGTTCTGAAAACAGGGGCTTAAGAGGAGGGGTTTAATAGAGAAGGGGGCGTAAAAGAGAGAGGGGGTTAAAAGAGAGAAGGGGGTTAATAGAGCTTTTACAAAAGCTCACAAAAAGTCTTCTAGGAGATCTGTTTCCTACAATGGCAAGGTCTGCAAAAAATAGATTACCTGTTTATGAGTTGAGCATGTTGTATTATGTCTAAGCATATCATAAATTTAAATAGCTTGATAGCGTATAATCTTCAAACATTTTGAATCCTGAACAAAAAAAAATTTTTAGTTAAAATTGAGAACATAAACCTATCTGCTTATTGGTTTTATATCTACAGGACATTTCAAGGTGAAACTTTCTTCCCTGGCATACACTGGGTGCATTGCAAGATTTTTTCTTTGGCTTTTAAACCCACTAAGGTATGTTTAGACTAGTTATATTTTTGTAGAGTGATATATATCCAAGAATTTATACAATGATTTCAATTTTATTGGCATAATGATTAAATTTGTAAGTTCTATGTTTTTAATGTTTAAAACATGATACATGGCTAATTAAATTTCCTTTTGCCTCAAAATCTAGCAAAAGAAAACTCCTTTATCTGCTGATCTGGACATTTTTGTCTGCTCTACTGGCTGCTCCTGCAATACTGAAGCTTAAACTTATGGCACCATTGATCATTTTTCTCTTGATTATTGAACTGTGGAATAGTATGTGGACTGGAGTTATCATCGCCACAACTTTCAATACATTTGCAAGGTAATGTTGAAAATATATATACTTTGCTTATGTTTTCAGATGAACTATGAGGAAAAAATATGACAGTTGTATTATATAACACACAATACAACAGTGCCATTATATTCATACTTCATGAAATAAGATTTAAGCAAAATAAACAACCGAAGTCAACATTGGTACATATAAACCTTCAAAAGACAAAGGCAACTCATATTTTTGCCTTTGAGGGTGTTTATATTTGCCCTTGCAATTTGCCAAATAATTTTCATCAGCATTTCAAATAATTTACTCTAGCTTAATTTCTAGATTTCTTGTACCTTGACCTTGTGGAAAGGGTTTTTGATAAAGCTAGACTCAGCAATAAAATTTGCAGAAAGGCAGCTGCAGAAATGTTGCTGAGTTGCTTTCTTTATATGTTCTTTGTGTATATATTTGAAGCTTGATTTGACAAAGATATGGTATATAGTTGTAACAATACAGTTTTTATCTGTCATAATGTGTTCATCTGAAACTGCACAGTTACGGAGGAGCTATGAGGATCAAGATAAAAAAAATATTCCAGGTCTAACCATTATGATTATAATTAAACCCCCAAATTTTAAACCCCCTTATAATTGTTCGCAATAGCTCCCCAATTTTTGTAAAACAATAGACCTTTTTCAAAATCTGTTGTTATTGATGTTAAATTTTTCCTTGGCCCCCCCCCCACTTTCTGACCTGTGTCATTGCACATCCAGTAATGGGCATAACTGTGCTTCATTTCTATAGACTTATGAAGAGGAAGGATTCATTGAGTAAACTGAAAAAACTGCCAAAGAAAAGAAGCCCAAAAGTTCAAAAAGAGTTGAAGAAAGAGATTAAAAATCAACTGGTAAGCAATTAGTTTTTGGCATAAAGAATCATACCATAAAAAGAAAGCATTGTTATGCTACAGTAAAAACCCATATATAAGAAACTCACTTATAAGAAACTGCAGGCTGACTTTTTCAAAGAAATGTACCAAACTATAAGAAACTGGTCAGCCTTAATTTTTTCCAGTTTCTATAAGTACTAATTTTAGAATAAAAACCTGCGTGGAAAATAAATTTTGGAAGCAGTTTTCTAGAAATTATTGTCAGTGTGCCCTTTTTCATTAATGTGGAGTGTTTGGTTCATGACATGTTTGATGCAAAGCCTTAGTAAGAAATTAAAATACAATAGAATACAGTATTCATTATTAGTCATGGAGCTTCCACTTTTCCCAGTTGGTCCAGCTATTTTCATCATCTTATAAGAATTTCATTTTTATAAGAAACTCATCAGCGTGTTTTTCAAGATTTATTCCTTTTATAAGAAACTCGTCATCCTGATCATTAAAACATCCCCGAATCCTTTATATTATAATTCTAACCTTAAAATAGTAGCTTTGGGTAGGATTGTGTAAAACTGGCTCTTAATTTGACTGTCTATATTTTCTAGATAAAGATTCTCCTACTTGTTGGATGATGAAATGCTGTCAAAATAATATTTTCCATATTTAACATAAAACAATTATGTTGTAAGTTATTCTGCTATGGCAGTTAGGGTCATTTCGGCCAATATATGTACTTGATAATGGGCCTTGTGGGAAACCTTGCAAGTACGGTGTAATGCCATGTTACACAAGAATTTCATGAATTTTGTTGTATAAACTTTGTTTTCTTTGTCTCATAACTATTTTAATTAAATGCTGTTTCTCAACTTCCTAAAGGTAGCCTTTTCTGACACCAGTTCTCTTTGATGGTGAGATTGCTGTTTTTTAGGTAGTTGTTCATCAGCAAAAACCAAATCAGGACAACATAGATGGTAGGATTGATGTATTGTCCCTTGGTCTTACTGACAGTGAAGATGATACCAAACAAGGCTCAAGAGTTAAAGGTAGAAAAGGTGTATTGTCTTTTTCTTTATGTATACCGTATTTACTCTAATATTCCCGCTGCGGGATTAGCACTTCAACCTCACAAAAAAAGGCGGGATTATTCTCGAGGCGGGTATATTCTCGAGGCGGGATTATTTTTTCAATGCCTTGAAGTCTAGTTTGAGGATACCCTTTCAACAAAAGTCTCTTAAACATGATTGTGGTCAATCAGAGAAAAAATATGCAATTTAAACATATATGGGGGGTTAAAATTAAATGGGGAGTGGGATATTTATTTTACAGACAAGACAGAGCAGATATTGTGCTTTATAGACAGTAGTACGAAGTCAAAGAACCAAACGTCTTTTTATGCTGCGAGACTTGTATGTTTGATAAACTTGCAAAATAGGACAGCTCTCTGCCCTCTCCCGTCTATGACATTATCATGTGATTAAACCCATTCACTCCAAGCATAAGTTTCAATCCTTGATTTTCAACCCATACAAAGTGTGTGAAGAATAGCAAATGCCAATTAAAAGTTTCAATCCCGCATGCAGGATTACTGGGGAGGCGGGATTATTCTTACAATCTATGAAATACAGAGGGATTTACTAGAGAGGCGGGAATAAAAGAGAAGCGGGAATATTAGAGTAATTACGGTATTTGGCTTTAACCAATTTGATGCATTTACTATAGATGCAATGCATAGTACATAATGAAATAGCATATAAGCATTTACAATCAAAGAAGACATGAAAATACAATGTAAAAATTTTCATTTAAACAGCAGAAGTTAAAATAGGCTGCAGAAAATGGGATTTTATCAGAAAATGTTGCAAGTATACCTAATACATCTTAATATTAGCAAAACATTGCCATATATATTTCACACACTTAAAGGAAACATTACCCTATGTTTGTTAATTCATTAACTAAACAAAGCGTTGAAAGCTGTTTGACAAAAGTTTAATCAATACTGTTTTAGTCTCCAAGTCTTGGTACGCAAGTGCATGCAGGTTTGTTGGGGAGGCAGAGGACAATGACATCCAAAATGAAGGGAGTAAGAATGGAGAGCAAGGATTCCAGTTGTACCCATCAAAACTTTTATCCTCTTCAGTCAATAAAACCAAGACAAATAAAAGTAATCCTTTGAAAAAGGAATCAAGTCAATACAAAACAGATCATTTAAACAGAGAATCGGGTCAAAGAAGTGCTAACCTGCCACAGCAGAGGATCAAACAACAGTTACAGGAAGACTCAGATGTGCTAGATCATACGAAAAAGAAAATCAAAGGTTCTCAAAAATCACAAAGCTCCAAATGCACATTGATGAAATATTTTTGTATGGGACTTTTAGCCATTACCCTTTTCTGTAGCATTGCTCTTAATGTCTATCTTTTGAAAAGGGATAGAAGACTGTCTTTTTCCTGATAGTAGTATTCAACTTTTTTGATAAAATCTTTAAAAGTAATTAAACCTGTAAATGTTTTGGGTTTTGAAATAAGATGTGTCTTTGCAAATGATATTTGTAATTTTATCAATGTTGCTAACTAATATTTATAGATAAGCGTTTTAGATTGAGTGTGTAAGAATGATATTCCAAAAACAAGTTTTGGACTAGACAACAAAAATTGTTTAAATATGACTTAGGTACTGCAAAATTTGTTAATAGCACAGTAAACAGGAAACATGCCATACTTTGAGAACTTTCACCTGACACTCCCCAGAGTTTGAACATGGCATAATGGCTCAAAGTAAGCAGGAATTTTTATGCAGATGTGGATCAAAAGTAACAGACCTCTCAACTCCTTGAAGAGTCATTTGCAGACTTTCAAATTCAACACGGGCCATAAATTGGCTATCATTCCAGGCAGAGAAACAGCTGTGATGAAAACGACTGTCAGGCATTTCTAAGTTCTTTATTGACAGTCTATTATCAAATCAACACCTTGTCTAAGTGCACAAAATTATGATGTGATACATTACCACCCCATATTACACCCCAGGTAGAAAAATAGTTAGCTTGTTACAATGAGATGAAAAAGTCCAAATCATAATGTGTAAGATTTTTGTTTTCATAAGTACACAATTTTGTGAATGCCCACAAAGCTTTGAAAGAAAAATGCACAATGTACAGATATTAATCAAAGGTCCTTGTCTAAAAAAATCTTAATCTCACAATTTCAGTGTTAAAATCTCTAGAGGCTTTGCTAACCAATTGTTACATTGGCAACTTCAAATATCATCAAAAATGCTAACTGAAAAGTTTTTACACATACTCATCAATAGAATTAAACAATGTTGTTGTTTTAATTTTGAATGTCCATTAGTCTTCATCTGAAGACAAAACAAAATCTTCTACAACATCATCTTTTTGCAGTCCTTTTTTGATAACATCTTCAAACTTTTCAGCTTTACCATTTGTTAAATTTGACTTTGTTTTTTCTTTCACTGATTGTGATTTCTTCTCTTTTTTCTTTTCCACCTTAGAAGCTTCCTCTTCACCAGTTCTTTTCCGCTTTTTGCTTTTAGGCTCTTCCTCATCTCCACTACTTTCATCTTGATAGTACTTTTGAAAGACGAAAAATGTTTAAATTAGTTTGTTTAATTAGTTTGCTATACACTCTCAAGTTCAGTAATACCTTTTTGACAAGCATTGTCATAGAACCATACATACAACACAGTGCAAAAGAGGACACAATCAAGCTCATTAACAGGATACTGTGCAAGTTACAAATCATGTTTAAATTTTTTTGGCTAAAGACTTTTTTGCAGTCATTTTAAAAAAATTATCTCTGAAAAATAAATTTTCCTGCCTCCTAGTATCAATACTCAGTGATTTCTATAATTTCTACAAATGAGTTCAAATAGAATTACTGTCTGCAAATGAAAAAATATGCTAGAGGTTGGCCTACAATCCTTATCCTTGCCAAAATTGTTGGAGCACTTGCAGGATCCTAAAGCTTTCTTAAAAAAACCCCCTACCCCTACCCCCCATTACAATGTTGTGCAATTTGGTTGTTTTGATGCTGAAGGTTAAAAAATTTTTCACTGAAAGCTGTATGAAGGGATTGAGAAAACAAATCAACATTGTACGGCGGAGGGGGTCAACATTTTGGAAGCGGCAGTGATATTTTGGTAAGGTAGTTTTAGACTTGCTTTGTTTATTTCCATGCTGTAACGGGAAAGCGTTCCAGCTTTTTTTGGCAATAATTGTAGTTTCGCTGAATGCCTCTGCTTTCTATAAATGTTAAAATTTGCCTTCTGATAGAAGAGAAAAACAAGTATTTTATTTTCAACTTTGCCAAAATCATTGCAATTCGCAAAGAACTATTGTAATCCGTGATGAGACTAATTGTTTGTGACTTATTCTGGTTTATTTAATAAAAACCAGAAAATCTAGATTCAAATAAGTTTGATGATAGAACGGTTATATTTGATGTACATTATACTTAGGGTTGGTAATTTTGATTAGTTGTTTTGATTAAGCTTAGTATGCATAGCTAGAAAATGTAACAATTTTAAAGAAAGAAAAATAGAAAGAAAAGAAAGGGCCTGGCTTTAATTTTTATTCTAACCCCTGACAGCTTCAAAAAGGCCGTACAAACAAAAATCCAAGGTGTACTAATTTTATGCAACCTGCAAAAAGAGTACACTTTTGCTGAAATCTGTTTTGTGCTACTTATCAACAGGGTCCTAAACAACATTTTTTCAGTAAGTTACCAGTAGGTCGATAAATGACTTTCCTCGATTGTGTTAGTACAAACTCAGACTTCAGGCCTCAGGTGCAAACTTACTTCATAATCATGGGAACTTACACAACCTCAAGTGATTCTCTTAACCACACTAAACATAGAATATCCAAATAAAAGTACATCAAGTAATCTTTAATAATTAATTATAAGAATACTTACTTCAACATCATCGCCGTTTCTGTTGGCTTTCTCCACAGCCTTCATCTTCAGCCAGGTATCATTGAATTTTTGCAAGGTATTTTTCTGCTGGGCGTAAGCAATCTCCCAATTTTTCTGCATTTAAAATTGCATTTGTAAATATCCAGTTCATGATGCCATCAGTGAACTTCTTTTAAAAAAGCTTTGCAAATCTTGCTTGTCTGCCTTGATGGCCGCAAATGTTTTTATCCTCCCCCCCTCTATTTATTCGATACATTTTTGCTCAAAATTTCTAATTGATTACTGGCTCTGTTTCCTAAAATGGTTATGTAAAATTTTGTGGTACTGGTAAAATCAAGACGTACAATTGTGAATATTGCAAAAAAATTTCTTTAGGTTTGGGGTAATCAAATCCGTCACCTCAATTCTAATTGCATAACACACTATTGCAGCTACAAAGCCCAACAATCGTTTGGCATACTACAATTTCACAAGCAACTCTCTCAAGCCCTTATCTATCGACCATTAATACTTTTTATCGATTCTTTTATATAAACTTTTTATCAAACTGAATCCAGTTAAAGCATTGTTGGAATTTCAATTTAGAAAAACTTCCAGACACTGCATTGTTTCAAACATTATAACACAAAAACTCCCAGACACTGCATTGTTTCAAACATTATAACACAAAAACTCCCAGACACTGCATTGTTTCAAACATTATAACAGGAACTGATTCTGTTAAAAATTGTGTTGCAACTATTCTGTGTTTTGAGGATTTTTAATAGACCATTTAGATACATTTTTCCCAACAAGGCTCTGATACCTCAGCTCAAAACCTACATATTTTTAAGGGATATTGCTGCAAAAAATAAATACCATCCTGCATATCCCACAGAAAAGAAAGAAAAATCTTTGGGCATTTGAAACCTTGAACACAAGATCGTGATGAAGGTTCCATCATTTGCCTTTTCTGTACACTATCCTGGGTGTTTTCTAGCTTTTCTTACCCTAAGACCCGGAAAGGACAAACCTGGTTTAATGAAGTGCAGCTACTTGAAAATAATTCACTAATTAACTTTCAACTGAAAAGGTGGGATTGGGAAAATACTAAAGTATGGAAAACCTAATTTCTTTCCATCCATCCAAAATTCTTCATTCTTCTAGGTACTTGATAGAAATAAAAGGTAATGTTGATATTTAAACATTGCTATGTCACTCACCACTTCCTCAATGTCTTTAGGACTGAAGTTCACAGAAGACCGTTTCCGTGAGAGTTCATGACCAGCTTCTTGCAACTAACAAAATTACAAAAAAAACCACGATGTTATTCTTTGGGATCTAACAAGACTGCAATGATTATAAAAAATTCATGCTAGCTAAAATCTAAAGACTGAAGGGGAATAATAGGATATAAAGTAATATGGGGGGAGTGTAGGGGTCTGCAGACCTGTGGAATGAGAGTATTTATGTTCTGAGATTACAGTTTTTTATTGCTTTAGTACTGATTTGCGGCTTCAAAGACCCTTGTGGATATTAGATTTCAACGGTTGTACGAAGCAGATTCTGGATTTTCAGCAAAAGAAGATGCGGATGCTGGATCCAGATGATTGCTGCAGATTTTTGACAAGCTGTGATTTTCTTTTTTATGATTTTAAACAAACATGAGCTTAAATTTGAATGAATAACCACAATCTATTGTTAACTTTGGCTATAGGGTGTTTTATGAAATAACTAGGCATTTGATGGGGATGGGATATAATGGATTTGCAGAGTTGGCTACCCCTCAATACCCTCCCTTTAATATGGAAGGAATGAACCATTTTAGATATGCAATCAGTCATCTAGATTACAGTTTACCTAACTGGACTTTAAATCATGCAAAATCATGCAGAAAATTTGTATCATACTTCCACAGTAGTCAATGGAATAAAAATAAAGCACCAATCATTTTAAAAGTGATATTAGGCATTCTTGCTTTGAACCTACTTTTAAATTTACTGGCATTGCATTCATTAAGCAAATATTTTTTGGTTTAAACAAGTATTTTCTAGTAGCTGAAAACGTTTTGTAATCATAACATCTCAGTTTCTTATATTTCAAAGAAATATTAATTAGATTTTAGGAGTATATCAAAGCATGATAGTAAAAAATACACTTTCGAGTTGGCAACAAGAAAGAAATAGACCAGAAGATGACATGATAACATCATAACATCGTAAGTAAGGGGATTAAGATATGATGCTCACCTTATCCACAATCTGTTTTATCTGTTTGCTAAATTTTGGCACTGTAGACTTTTTCATAAAGCGTTTCATCTAAAACAATAGAGAGGAATGAGAAAAATCAGTTACATATTGCTTTTGTAAGTTCTTGTTATTGTTTTGAAGTTAGTCACATAATAAATCAAGAGGCAATCAACCACGTAACATAATCAACCTGCGGCATATAAAACTCCTTTTAATAGTCAACTATGGGAATATAACAAAATATGCCTGTATCAAAAGGCCTTTATCCATATGAATAAGAATAACATTGACAAAATAGGGAAGTAATTTTCGATACCACTTCCCCCCACTCATCATTCTTGTAACAAACAAATATCTTATTAGCTGTCACAATGACCTCTATTTTTGTAGTTGCTGATCATAATGAATCCTTCTATGTTTACATGATATTCTTTTTAAATTCAATATTATGAAAGATACAGTGAAAAACTTTAAAAAATGTTTAGCAAACACCTAGGCAGCCAGAGTAACGTTAAAGGCGGTCTGTTCCCTTTGTGATTGGCTAATGCTAACTTGAAAGCCTTGCCTTGAAAGAGGGTCGTCCTCTGCAATTTTAGCATTGGATATTAGTTATGTGAATGAACACAACAAAAAGTGCCTTATCATCGAAACTGATTTAGACATTTGACACCAAAACAACAATCACAGCAACTCGCTCAGGGAGTGTAGGCTATTTTGGTTCTTCATTCTGATTGGTTATTCGTGCACCAAGGATACAGAAGATACTGAGCCATGAAATGGCCATGAGAAGAGGTACTGAGAACAATGGGGGAAAAACTTCCTTTAATTGACAACCTTAGTTCTAGCGATCAATTATAGCAGATGTTTCTGTGCCGTAAATCTTACAAACATGTTTGCTAGCTAGTCACTATATAATAGTACATGTAGCAAATTTAATAAATCTCACCCGTAGACAAATAGGGAAAATGAGTTCCGGAAAGGCAATGCTCGTTGAATGATTCACAAAATGCTCCAGCAACAGTTCTGTTACATTTTCCATAACACAGTCCTATGAATATTAAAGTCAATATTCGGAGATGTTTCAAGCATTTCTTATGATTTGATAATAGCGGAAACTTGCTATTAAACATGTAAAGAAACACTGAGCTTCTTGTCATAAAATTTTTGGGTCATACTGAGCCATATAGATTTATTTTACATAGTTACTAAATATTTCATTCAATATTGACTCATTGATTGACTGATTGATCAATATTTATTTTTCCCAACAATTTTAACTAATCAATCCGGGATATTGTTTCTACAATTTCAATGTTGGCTGTGTCCACTTGAACTTTTGTTTGCCTATTTCTGGAACCGCGTATGCACAGTATGGCGCTTCGAAGTAGTGCAAATGACAGCTTGGTACGAATCCAATTAGTCACCAGTGAAATTGACAGATCACGTTTCTCTGATATCTTTGTTGATAAAACCGATATAAACTCTTCAGTTTCTCTACTTGAACCACCACTGTGAGCGAAAATCAATGGCGTCAAAGAACCATGCTCAACTTGTAAAACTCTTTGACTGTACGCGCGTTTCTTCTCTCTTTCATTCCCTGCAAAAGTGTTGTTTAGTTTCTGGTTTCTGTATGATGGTGCGAATGGGTTGAATACCCTTACATCAAAAAATGCACTTTGTTCCTTCTGCAATTGACTGATTGATTGACTGGTATGATTGATGGATTGATGGATTGATGGATTGATGGATTGATTGATTGATTGACTGATTGGAATATTGCCACCTTTATCGCTGTGCTGGGACACGATTGTTGTACCAGAAACAACAAGGATTGTATGCAAATAGTATGTTGATAAATCAACAATATTATCTAATATCTTTGCATCAGTATCAACATTCTATTAAAAACTGAATATTTCTTGCTTTCAGAATGCTTCAAGATCTCAAGCCATTTAAAATCTTTTGATAGCATAAAAATTTCAGAGGATTCTCAAAAACTGAAAAGTCAGCGAAAGAATAATATCGAGAAGAAAAAAACATCGAAATGGCTTTGAAAAAGTACTTAAAGACAACCTTTAGCTTTTTGTCTAATACTGTTCTGAGTAAGAAAATGCCAGAATATTCTCCGAAAGGTGTCAGAAGAAAAAGTTAAAGTATAGGATCTGAGTTAATGGTGGAGATCTCCAAGCATTTCCTGTTTTGCCAAAAATAGATCTGATAATCATCCAATCAAAATGCTAGGGTCTCTATCATCCATTATCACCACAGCTTGTGCGACCATGCCTGAATAGAAGTGATCTGAAGGTTTTTTGTAGAAAGCGTCTTTTAACTCAGGCTATTCACATTGAGTAAATATATTTCGAAATCTTTAATTTTTTCAAAGCCGTATTTAAATTTTGTACAAAGAAAAATCGTTTAAGAATAAGAAAATAGTGCAAACAGCTTCATAATATTTTAGACAGCCATTGTTCACCTGGAAAGCTTTTGTATGCAGCTGCGCTTTTGGAAGTTTCAATGCACAGGAAATATCAGGAGCTTTGGCTGTGGAGGGTTTGCTTTTCTTGTTAAACTCAGAAGATTCCAAAATCTGCAAAATATTGACAGGATAAATGCGGATTAGATTCAAAGAATCAAAACAAAGTATTTTTTCGAAAAAGTGCTTGACTTTGGTCCAAAATTATTGTTGATGCTTAAAAACACAACAGAGATCTTAAGAGTGACGTCATAAAAAATCTGTTTAAGAATACTTCCAAACAGCCAAATGAGTTAAATATGTCGAAATAGGGTCATATCTTAACCAATTCGCGACATATTCAACTATTTTGGGACATTTCCAGGAATTTCGTTGTGCTCTTTCAGGTTATGGAATCCGAATGCAAAAATTCGAAAAAAGGATATTTGTTATGTTTTAACTTCAATAAAGCATGGCTAAAACATACGATCAAGATTGTGCTAGTTCGTTAAGGTTCCGTTTCTAATGGAGTATGCGTTAAAATTCGTAACTATGAGTCTCATTAGCTCCCTGCGACAATGCCCGAAATTAGATAACACTTGACTTCTCTTACCACAAATCGGAATAAAACACAAAAACAACTTGGTTCCACTACTCCTTTCAAAATGACAACGCACCCTAGCAGTTAAACCCTAGTGAAATCTAAACATACTTTTAAGAACTATGTTAAACATACTCTAGGCAATTTTATTTGTTCCTGGAAACTCAAGAGAAGTGATCAGAAAAGATTAATCTATTAGAATCCCAAATACGAAACTTCACCCTTGTCAAAACAACAAACATATTATCTATTCCAGTTTAATGTTACTGCTAAGGAGTAAAAAGCTTCATTGCAAGTCTGATGTATTTTGATTCGCATTTGCTACTATCTAGCATGTCCTGGTCCTTCCCCTCGATGTGACCACACCTCGTTGTCTGATGTCATTGCACAAATAAATGAAAATAGAAATTAAGACCTAGGTTTACATGTTTTATATTCAGTAGAGTAAAAGATGAAAAGCTTTAGTACTTTTCAAAGGCATTTTAAAACTCTGTTCTACAAAAAATTATTTGAAAACAGAAATGTCTGGGACTGATCTTACCTCAACAAGATATGAAGCCACAGGAATGTATGTATTCGTTAGCTTTGATAGCATATTCAGCGATCGCAGACAATGAAACCGTAGAGGATAGTAGCGTGCTGTTGGTATGAGTCTAAATAAGAAAAACATTGTCGAAATATGACTTCTCTAGTGTGAAATTCAGCATAGCACAAACGTAATGTATAGTATCAAAGTATCAATTGAAAATATAACCGTTGCTTGAAGAAAATATATGAACAGCAGGCCTAGTCATTGTTCTATCGAGCAGTTTTAGATTTCATGCACATAAATATGGAAAACTGTTATTGTGTATACAGAAGTAGCTCGTTTTCAAAACTTGGACTTCTTTAGCAATATTTTCTATTGGCAAGGGGCAACGGCCGAGCAACCACTATAGCCAGATGCTTACTTTCTGATTGGCCTATTTCGATCAGCAACTGGGTATAGATATTTCCTAACTTAGAGTTGTCGATCATTATCTGACCATTTCTCATGATCATTGCCATAAAAATACTCTGAAAGGTGTCCGACGAAAAGCTTAATAATGTATTCAAATGCTTGCTATTTCAAAGCTATTTCTAAAAGTAATCTAGAAAGATAACAATTTCAAAAGTTTTTAGACATGTTTGACAATGCCTTGCTGTATATTATTCTAAAGACGTTATGAAAAATATGGTCAAACAATAAAATGCGAATAGATTACGCAAAGTGAGCATTTATCTTAAAGGCAAAAACTAGTTATTAGTTGTTTGATAAGCATAGTAGATTAAGCTATTTATGACTGATGAGAACAAAAGCAATGCAACATTGGTTATTGGTAGATATAACAGCAATTTGAAAACAATCACCAAACTCATTTTCGAAAAAATAATGTAGGCCTTTGTCCAGGAGCGGAAACCTAGCCAAATTTTGGGGAGCAAGCCAATTGTTTTGATAAGACGACGTCACACTTTCTCATTATTTAAAACAAAAGACCATTGCTTTCAAAAATATTTGGGGGCGACTGCCCCCCTCGCCCCCTAGGTGTCCATCCACTGCTTTTGTCACAAAGATAGAGCTTAAGATATGCTTGCTAGTTTTATATAATTACAATTGTGCTACCTGTATATAAAAAAATAGAAAATATGTCTGGCGTAAAATAAACATAAAAGAATTATTATGTAAACCATCAAGACAAATTAAAAGCGAAGCCTTGCACATTTGTCATTTTCTTCACACAGCACTCGATAAAAAATTACGTCATCAAAAAAGCCATTATAACTTTTTGGTTACAAGCTTAGACCCTAGTTTTGGGTCTTTGCCGAAAGTTTATTATGCCGATTTTAAGACGACTAAAACTTGAAAATTTGAAAGTGACACGTCTGACAAAATGTTTCTCGGTGAAACTTTCAATGATCAGTTGAGTTTTAATAAATTTGGAATTTCAACACGCCATATTTACATGAAACAGCCATTAAAAACTGAACCTGTGCTACAATTCGTCTACAATGCGGTCACAAAACATTTCAGAGTCAGACCTTGAATCGAACAAGCGCATTATTAAGTAGCATGTTCGCTGTTGATCTTACCTAACAACACCGAGGGTTACTTGAACGACGGGGTAGATTAAAGGAGCCAATGTTTCACCATGAAGTTCCCCAACGACTCGTGTCCACAGCTGAATGCAGTTTATGTATTGCCAATTATAGACAGTTTGATACGCATCCTATGCCAGAAAGGAATACATTTATTAAATAGGCATAAAATTATTACTGTTGATATTAGATGGATACTTGGGAATAGCATAAATATTTATTAGTTCATCTCTGCTATGCTCTTTATCAGCGGATGAATATCCTAAACAAGGCATCGCGAAATACAGATTTACGGACATAAAACAAGACACAAATAATATGTCAAAGATGTGCACGTTTTGTTTTACAGTAGACTACCGATAACTCGAACTCCCGATACTTTAAACATTTGCTAAGTCGAACTGATACTGCAATATTGTTCAGTAAAAATGTGAATAACTCATAGTTTGCGACGAAATCTCTTTAGCTTGTTACGTAAAAATCTCGTAAATCTCTCGAATCTTTCTTGCAACCCCTTCTAACTTCTTTTTCAGCAAGAATTATAAATTTAGAACTCATCACAATGACGTCATTCTAGATCTTGTTTTATTACGATGACATATTTCTACGCATAGATCAAATCACGTATGAATTATACAAAACTCCTCAAATCGTGTTTATACCTTCTTTTTGGTGGACAACGCATTTCGCAAGTGTATAGCCATCTGTCGAATGTAAACAAAAGCGAACTGGTATGTGGTGCTATGATCCATTGCGAACATTTCGACCATGGAGTTCTGCATGAAGGCGATCACTGGTTTGGTTTTGAAGTTCATAAATTTTGCGTGTTTGACGAAGCCAACATACAATTGCTGAAAAAAATGCACAAAATAATTTTAGCAACATCTAACTAAATTCAATTGAACAAGGCCGTAATTGGCAATTAAATAGAATATCTTAAAAACAAATTGACTTTAAGGTGGAGCACTTTAAGGTGGAGTGGGGCAGATTGAGAAAAGAGACGAGATTCTCCAAAATGGGGGCACTTTGAGAAAAAAGGGGGCTCACTTGATTGGGACATATTTGTACAAGAGAAAAAGTACCCCTGGAATGCCACTACAATCACCCAGTTCAATGTTTATATCTCTGCCACCAAAATACATACGCTCCAACTTTGAAGTGGCGACTTCTCTTACACGGCCTTCAAAAAGCTCGGATACAAGAGTCAAATTTCTCTTTAAGTATCATAAAACTAAATTTTCTCGTTGTAAATAAACAATTTTTTCAGGCTGGTTATAGTTATTGCAAATTTCTTACCTTGATAATGGTTTCATAAAGCTGAGGCATTGCGATTGCAATCTTTCTTAAGCATAAGAAGGACAAGACTCTCACGTGCTCCTCCGCAGATGACCACATACGAACTAATCGCTGGGAAAATCAAATTTCGGTTAAACTTGGATTGCTGTAACATCAATTTATTTTACTACGTCATTTCCAAAACGTAAAGGGGGAGGGGGTTTAATTTTGAAAAAGACAATCCAGAAACGTGCTTTAACTGACTAGCCAGCTATGGGCAGGGGTGTAGTGCTTTGAAAAGATTGAGGGGCGCTTATGAAAAGTTCTCCAAAAATAATACCAAAACGGGGGAAAGGGCTATATTTCGGCATTAACATGGGGGCTCAGTCCCCCAGTCCATATCTCTGGTAGAAGGAGCTGACCAAAGCAGGCAAAATAGTCAAGTAACACTACAGAAGAAGAATCACCATGCCAATTATCAACTTCGTATCCTTTACAAAGATCAACTGTCAGTGTGTCACAGAATAGACACTTCTATTCTCTGACTGTGTTGTGTGACTTTATTTCAACTGAAAGTAGCCCCGTATAAACGAGGCATCGAAAAATTTCTACATGCTCATTATTTTTCCTCCTCCACGGAAATCTTTAGTAAAAGGCGAAAGATTTTTACGATTTGAAGGAAGAACAGAGCTACAGTCATCAACGTCACAATTACGAGTGACCTACATAATGGCCCGTAAGAAATGAGGTAGCAAAAATAAGCGCATGCGCTGACTAAATAGGATATGTAGGGATCTTCTTAAAATGATTTATGCGACATACACAACAGCGAATTATGCACGGGAAACATTCTGGAAAGAAAAATGGCAATCAAGACGAATGCTGTTAAAGACAGATAGCGCAAATTAAATAAAACGATCGCGGTTTTTAAGGCACACCACTAATGATAAATAACCACATATTACGATGCCTACCAAAAGTCTTGAGACACCGACAGTATTTTTGTCATTCATATTGTAAATTTCAAGATTTGTATGCTTCTGTTATTATTGTAATTATTTTGTCAAGTTAAATTCATTGATTCTGTTGCGTTTTTATGTCACATGTTTGATTACCGCACTGTTTTGTTTGTAACTCCTTTTACGGGAAATGTGTGTCACTGTCATCGCATTATGTTAGGTTTCGGAGTTTTTTTTTGAAAGTATTTGAATAAAGAAAATGCCACGATAGCAGGCTGCTAAACGGACTCCGATGGAATTCTTGCGGCCAAAATCGATAAAATGGAGTTTATAAGTAACAACGCAACGCGACGAGAATGAACAACAACAAACACACATAAAAATCAGTAAGATCTAATAGTTCGCCCCGGCATACGGGGCTTCATCGGAACAAGGCTTTAATATTGTGTCATCAGTATTTATGTTGTGGCAGAATAATTTAGTTCTACCGTTTAATCAAAAGAGTTAACATCGAAGAAGTGTCTTAAGTCTCTTTCTGCAAGCGGTCTAGGCCCTCTGGCCTTGGCCTAGTCATCGGGTATTGCACAGTCGTAAGAAGAACCAATCCATAATTGTTACAATATTAGCCGTTTTCCCCCAGCCTTTAAAAATGTTGGCTTATTATTTCCCATAGAAATAATATGTTTGATCGAAAACTGTTTCTTAAAAAACTGGCATGGCTGAGATGTACTTCTTATAATTTTTCAGGGGGGGGGCAGGGGCAATTCAGCTGTTTCTATAAGGGTGAGTTGAAAATGGATAGAGAGTGTTAAAAGCCTGTCTGGGTGTTAAAAGTACTTTTGGCAAACATTGTAGTTTCCTGTGGAAATTCTCTCATATGACTGCATGAAAAAAGACGTGAATCAAGTGCGTACAATGTCCATTCGTTGGCGTTGAAAGTTGTTGTTGCCCGTCAGTTTCGGGTTTAATTTAATGAATATTCCACTATATTTTAGAAGGTGAGTCCTTATCTTTGAGAGTGGATGCAATATGGATCTTTGGGAAATCCGGGTTTCTGTTAGGTTACTAAAGCTCCGGTGAAAAATGCAGGCCTAGCACACATAGTCTAGAATGTTGTGGTGAAAACGTTAAACTTCGCCTTAAAAACCTCGGCCACTTAAATTCCTCTGGCAGTCCCTCGAAGTCTGAAACTTACCTATCTCAACCTTGAAATAAAAAAAGAAACGATCTTAGGAAGAAAATTTTGACACTGAACTTGAAAGGGAAACCTCGAAATCTTGAAATAAGGACAAATACCTTGACCAACATTTTCGCGACTTTTGAAAAGCAAGAATAATATGGTACAAGATCTTGCACGTGACGCAATACAACTGCAACCATGCCTGGCTCAGAGAGTTGCCGGAGTAACTAGAATGAAAAGATAACGATTCAAAATATTTATTCATCTATTTATATTGATTTATGCTACAATCACTGCTTTAAGGTTTAAGAATATGGAACTAACGTCAATTCACAATGATGTATGCAACCACACCCTTTTCTCTTTAAACTGTTCGTTTGATGTAAAGTGAGAAATGATGTCGGAGAATTTTTTTTCTTCGTCTTATATCATATTTCCCTGAACTAGAAAAAAGTTTTGTCAAATATAGGAGGGGGTAGAAGTGGGTGTTCCCTTGGCATTGCCTCTCAACCACGAGGCGCATCGGATATCAAACCTCATACTTAGACATTTTTGAGAGATTTTATAAAAAAAATCTATTTTTCGATGAAATAGGTAGGCTGATATATCACAAATCTACTGTTCCAACTTCGAGCAACTCCTTAAAAAACCAAGACCTTTAATTTCAACCATTTTCACGCCTATAATTTCCTTTGCATAATTTGCATTATATGAATGAATTTAGAAAAAGAGAAGGGTATTAAGAGAATTGAATTTCAAAATTTCATCTGTTAAAAAGTGTGTTCATTACAGCGTTTATGTTGGACAAATTACCTGCAATAAATCTGATAAGTAATTTTTCACAGTAACTTTAACTTTGGACCATTGTTTACTTTCGGATGGAAGTCTTGGCCTAACAACGGAGACAAAAATTACATTAATGACAGTGGAAAAAAATTCATACTTAAATTACTTTACATTTGAATCAAAAAGTGCTTAGAAGCGTGCAATAGACAAATTATCAACGCGATATTATTAAACCTAATTATCAACACCATGGACATTTTTGGGTGCAGTATGGGACTCTCTGCTATGGTACAAAATGCTTTTCATTAATGCTGCCAATACAGTAGGAACATTTACAAAATTAGATAAAACAGAACTGCATTCACGAAACATGAAAAATTTAACCGATGAGATCTTCTTGTCTCAGAAAGAATATTAAAAATCGATACAAAGTATATATGCAGTTTTTAAGGAAAATTTGTGCAAGATTATTCTAACTAGTACGAGCTTTACGAGTTTCACATCCGCCTTTACGAGTTTCACATCCGCCTTTACGAGTTTCACATCCGCCTTTACGAGTTTCACATCTGCCTTTACGAGTTTCACATCCGCAAGTATATAAACTGCATACATACAGTATATATGCAGTTTATAAGGCAAAATATGTGCAAGATTATTCTAACTAGTACGAGCTTCACGAGTTTCACATCCGCCTTTTTTATGACTTTTTGAAAGAGCTATCTCACTTAATTCGTGGATTTGAAAGAGCTATCTCACTTAATTCGCAGCATAAGAGCGTTTTTTCAAATCCAAGATACAAAATATCATTCTTCAGAATTCAAAAACAATTCAATCCTAAAAAATGCAACAAATATTAGCAACCAAAATAGTTTCTTACTTCTTAGTCTTTTTGGTTCCCTTCTCACTTGACAAATGATGCTGTAGAACACTTGAAGCCGATTTGAGACACAGTTGGACCAAATTATTGAAAACTAGAAATGGCAAATTCAATAGAATAGCTTAACAAGGCTTTCGTAAAGTATTTTGAAGTACAAAATGGCGAAACAATGTAAAGTACATTTCGCCTTATATCTCTTGGATGTAGCAGAAGAACTTAAACGTTGATGTTAATTCGTCTCAAACGCTTGAAAGATTCTGCAATTTTGACAATCAGCAATCCCTAACCTCGATCTAGTGGAAGGGTACAACTGATAAAACGAGATAATTTCTTATGCACCAATGAGAACATTTGGTTTTGATGAAGAAAGATTTCAAAATGCCTTAAAGGTAAATACAAATTTTCTTTAGTTAAAAATTATTAGGCCAAGAGTTATGTGCAGAAGATTAAAAACCGATACCTGTTTTAACCCAATAGCCCTTCTAACCCCCCCCCCCCCTAAACACGAAGGTTTCTCTTTCTTTGTCTGTTCTACTTTAATACAATGAACGTAGCACTGTTTTCATCTTGCGAAGCAAAGCGAAATTAAATGATAGATTCAGATACAAATATGAAATATATATAATAAAAAATATTCCTGTATGAAGGTCTCTTTTTTGCACTAATGCATTTGAGCAATTTCATCATATTAGTGGTAAATGTCAGCCTATGATTAACGGCATTGAACAGAAAAAAGGGCTCATGGGAAAAAATCATTTCTTGACATAGAGTTATTCATATATACAAATATTCATATAAATGGAGAAGCAGAATCAAACATACAACCCACACATACCCATTGAGCTTTCAACTTTGAAGATAATTTTCCCTCTCGATTTTTCATCTTTTTCGTCAGAGGCTTCAGCGACAGCATCGTGGAATATTCTCAGAAGTTTTCGGAGTGAATACAAGGAGTTTTTCTGCAGGTTAGAAACGACAGTCAAGTACAAACTGCAATTTATTTTAACTGAAAAATTAAATAAAATTCGAAAAAGGATAGCTACATACAATCACTGCCAAAAAACCTTGAAATGTTCTTTTACGTAAGTGTTCTTTTGGAACATCAACTGTTTCCAGCCGAAAAACCGACACGGTACCCTCTCTTCCCGAAAAATGTGCTAGTTGCACCATTAAATAGCTCAAATGTCTGACCCTACCAAGGCTCTTAGCGTTACAAAACATTTTTTGGAATGAAAAAATTGAAAAACTAAACAGCGTGCCAAAACTTAGGGCATGGGTTCTAGAGCTGGAGCAAACAGCAGAAAAGAGATACGAGATCTAAGATAACATGATCTACCTAAAATGACGATAAAACTTCTTTCATTAACACGAACTGCAATGAGAGGTTTGGAAAAGGTAACCTACTTCAAGACCTTTCTTCAACTTGGCCAAATCTTTTAAATCAACTAACTCTCCATCACGTGAAAATTTATCCCTCTTATCAGCTCTGTCCTCCATATCACTATCCATAGCCTCTTCCTGGTGTCATAAAAGAAAATAAGTGACATTATGTGAAATTGTTATGAATACAACACAGGTGGATCAACACAAAACTCCTGTACAAAATAAACAAATACTTCAAAATAAATAATATTCCAATAAATAAAACTATCAGTATCTTGATGAATTGAACAACAATCCTAATAATTTAATGCAGAAAAAGGAAATGCTGACTGTGTCATCTAATCCTTACAATTAAAAACATTAATTATGCTAAGTTAAGCCTTTTTGTTTGATAGACAGCTGCACAGTCAGCATTCAGTGTTAAACTCAGAGTTTTAACTTAGAACTGTCCATTAATTATGCATAAATTCATGCAAAACAAAAAAACAGTCTTTAGGGGATCATTTAAACACCCCTTGATGCTAGCATTGTTAGACATCTGTATTGTATTGCATTGTATGTAATAATTACAGGCCTTTCTGGGAATAAATTAGCACAAGTGTGGAATTTCGCACCCCTAGACTGTCTTAGGCGTGTGATGGAGTGCTATTGGTATTTTGTCTTATTTCTAAAAATGTTTAATTACATAGTATATGGAACCTTCAAAAAACCCCAATCCTAAGTAATTTTTTCAGTTTTCACAAAACTTTAGCAAAAAATCTCTGGTGGCAGATAGTGTGAACACTAATAAACACTAACATGAAGCAATTTAAGAGATTGCATTATGGAAGTTATTGATTGCAAGCGCTACAGGCGCATTGATTTTCGAAATAACAATCTTCTATAAGAACTTTCAATTGACTTGCATTTTTGGATGATTTTATTTCATTTGCACGATAATTCCAAATCTTTGGACCCAAAAACCCTTGAAAATTTCATGCCTTTGTCACAACCTGCCGTTTTCCAAATGTTTCTGCTTCCATATGAAAATGAAACAACATTAAATAATTTTTGGAAGAAAGGGCCCGAAATAATTTATGACCCTTTTACTTATCTTGCTGAAGATGCCAAACTTAGATTAGAAGAAATACAGCACATATCTCTTCTAAACTGGAAGCCTTTTGTTTAAAAATTCAACTTAATTTGCCATTCGAAAAAGGTATTTTAAAAACATATGCATGCTAACACATGATAAAAAATGTGATCTCTCCTGACTACTACTAGCCCTGATGCTACGGTCATTTGGTCCGTGTTTATTTGCATTCAAGTGTTGTCACAACAGCTCTTAAAAATGATCAAGTTGACCCAGTACAGTGGACAAGACTGGTAAAACACATCAAAATACAAAACACAAACAATTTCTTGAGGTTTTGTCACCTATTAGTTTCCAGCGCTTTGGTTAAAAAACGAATGAATGATTACAAAAATAGGCGTGCGATTAAATGCACTTGCCGGTGTGGGGAGGCCTGTACCAGCATGTGCAAGTGCGATCGCACGCCTTTCCCAGGAAGGCCTGAATTAAAAAAAGGATGGGCATGCTGGGCTTAGTCAAGAATGGACGGTGAAACTAAAGCTTTCAAAGCTACCCTTGCAACAATTGACAGCCAGAAGCCCTGTTTACACTGTCGTTATGAAAACTGTTCCAAAAGCAGGGGGTCTAAACTTTCTCAAAAGCAGAGAAAAATCTTCTCACTTACAAAGTCTTTGTGTAAGCAGAAGGGTGAACCGTGACAGTTTTGTCACAGTTCCAAACTTGCATGGGACAGTGTAAACATGGTCAAAGGTTTCCCTGTTTCTAATTTGCAAAATCTAACCTCATCTATAGTTTCTTCATTTGTTTTGTTATTTAACAGATCTTCATTGCCACTGCCATCTTCATCGTCATCTTCACCATCATTACTATTTTCACCATCTTCTTCATCATCGGATTCATCAAACTCAAGTAATTCCTCATCATTTTCTTTCAGGAATTTGAAAAACTCAGGATCCTTTTCTTCTAAACTTGTGAGAGACTTTTTGTGTGTGGATGGTTTAGCAACTTCATTCCTAGAAAACAAAGCGAACAATTTCAAATGTTTGAAGTTGTTTAACAGTTATGATTAGCAAGGGTAAAAATTATGGGCCTTATACTTACCAATTCACAAGGCAGAAAATTTTGCTGTTTTAATCAGATCTGCATAATTCATCATTTAATATTTTGAAAGTTTTGAATTTTCACTTATATTGTTTGTGTGTGAGTCATAAAGCATGACAAGAGCCTTTTCTGGCATTCATGCAGGTGTGTCCATGCAAAATCATTTCTTGTTTTACAAAGCCTGAAAAATCTCATAAGAAAACAAATATAGCTGGATTCTGCAAATAGATAAATATGCCAACATGCTTAAAATGGGGCCGCAGTAGTTAACAGCAAATGACAGGAAAAACCACACTCTTTTGGAGTAGCAAAATCTCTTTTTGGAGAAAAACCTACTCCAGGCTAATAGATTAAATACCAGCTAGAATCATAAATACATAAAAGAATACATAAAAGAATCAAAAGGGAATCACTTACTTTTCATTTTCATTGGCAACTTGTAATAAATTCTCCTCAGCATCATCTGAGCTAATGTCAGAATCCAGGCCATGTGAAAAAAACTCATCTGTAGATAAATCTTTCAATTTCTTCCTACAAAATGGGAGTTTAATCAATGATTGACATTATAGAAAACTGTTTCTACCTGTATTGAATTCCCATCACAACACAAAGAGTTCTCAAAAAATTTCCTACCTAATATTTTATTAAAATAAAAAATATACAAAATATATAATGTGGCAACTGGGCTCTGCTATTCATCCAAAACAAGTTGTGTTGTACCTGTGTTTTTGCACAGTCTAGATTTTTGGTTAAATTTTGCTCTATGGCAGAATCATACTTTTAGGTATTGTTTAGATTTGAAAGACAGAGAAAGCAGTTTTCTCCAGGGAAGTTGTGTCTTACATTTGAAGAAACAACATCTGCTAGGAAAGACCAAAGTTTCTTTAGCTGTTGTTTACTTTTATTTTGCACAGCTCAAGGCCTAGTTCTAGAAGTTCCTTATTTCTGGACCTACTTTGATTGATTTGTAGTGAATAATGATTCACTGAGATTCACTAAAAAATTGCATATAGTACATTGAAAATATGCAATTGTAATTGCTAGATTCTTAACTGTAGCTAGAAAAAGAAAACAAGTTGAAATCAGAAAGAAGGGTTTTACACAACAAAACACCCGATAGCTACCTTCTAAAACAATTTATCTGACTTTTTAACACAAAATCAAAATGGTGAATGTCTTCCTAATTCATGATTATTTGCAACAATGAAAATATTCAAAACTGAAAAGTACCCTATAGATTTTGCCATCAATACTAACGGTTGTATAGTTTTTTTCTATCTTCTACATGTAGGTTCCTAAAAAAGTGGTTCGTTATAAAAAAATCCTGTACATTTTTCATATTTACTGTGCAGTGTGTGTAGTACCTATCACTTATCGTGCCATAGAATTCCTTACACCGTATATTTAAGGAACGTCTGCACTATAAAAAACAAATAAGTAAAAATTTGATAATACCTTTTTGCAATTTTGGTCTTTTTATTCGGAGTTTTCTTCACCATTCTGAAAGTATCTTCCTTCTACTCACAGTGCTGCAACTATGCTTCAAGCAAATGGCCTAACATGTGGAGCAAGCCTCGATTTCCACAAGAGGCTTCATTGCAAAGAGCACATTTCAAGATGGACGACGATTTCTTCTTGCCTATTACTGATTTAAGATTTCAACTTGAAGACGACGATGATGAGCTGGGCTTATCAAACAGAGAAATTGTAAATGAAAAAGATAAATCTCCTTCACCAGTTCAAGAGGTAAGAAAGCGTCCAAAAGGAAAAATTAGAACGTCAAATGGCACAATCGAAGACGGGAATCTTAGTTTAAAAGGAAAGAAATCAGCCTGCAGAAAGGACATTGGCGACGTACAGGAAACATGCACCGATTCTGGATTTCAAGATTCAATTAAAGAAAGGATAAGGAAGAAAAAGAAGAAGAAAAAGAAAGTTTTGAAGAAAGACCATATCGTTCAAGCTTCCTCTGAAAATTCATCATTAGAAGATACAGACAACACCAAAGAAGAGGTCTTCAAATACATCAAGAAACTGATCAAAATTGGGAAAGTGGTTGAAATCCGAAAGCTGATAAGAAGAATAAAGATCCTTAAACTGAAAAAAGGGAATGCTCAACAGCAAGCACAGAATTCAAGAAAAGCTAGCAGTTTATTAGAAAGAGTAAACACATTAAAGGAAATGGATTTTGATGCTGAAATTCGTAGCTTTGCCACAATTTTGGTCAGTTTTTCGAAGTCTGACAAATTGCAGTCAGATTCATCAGAATTTAACTGGGTTGAAATGTTAAAGAACACATATGATAAAAATTCAGTTGCAGAGATGTGTTGGAGATTGTTGGAAAAGAATGGTGTAAAGGCCCACATAAATGATATGTTGAATGGCATCTTGAGGAAAAATGTAGGTAAACAAAAAGAAT